AAAAACGTCTCTGAAAAGAATACCCACAGACGTACAAAAAAATGACATTTCCTCCTGCACATATATTTGTCAAGAAGCATGATCTCCACATAAGTCTGATCCCTGGATCTTAGAATTTGGTGCTGTGGCTGAAGGAATCTGACATAATGATATTCTTATAGAAGTTATCTGAGTGGGGGTGGCAATAGCCCTTGACTTTGTCAATAACATGATGAACTGGAAGAATTGATGTCTGTTCACCATCCACAGGTGTAAACTTGATTGAGGATCTGTCCCCAAATATGTAACCTGAAAAAAGAAAAATGGACATAAGTAGTTATTTACTTTACTTACAATGTAATCATCTTTCAGGGTATCAGCACCCTTATCTAAAATATTGCTGTCATTATGATAAATTCTGTAAGGTAAAATTTATTATAACAGAGACATTGCATGTTAAAATTTGCTTCGATTAGTAAAAATTTCAAAAGTTACTTATTTCCCTGTTAACTTAGCATGGTAATATGTATAGCTGTGCAACATTATACTGTATGTCCAATGCAACAAGCGCACTCTTATTTAAAAGTATAACTTTTATATTAACTAAAAAACACTATACTGGTTTGTAGTTCATTTTAATTATATTTGTGAAGTTTATACTTTTTTAAATTGATGTTTTATAATTGCTTTTAATCTATTTATTTCAAATATAAATAAGGAGCACCGATGACACAAGTGTCACAGAGCACTGAGGATTTTCTAAAGCAGGGGCTCAGCAGAAGCTGTTTGCTTTTAGACTTTCTCTCTCTAATTGAAGTTTCATATAGCCTCGCACAAATGAAACATGACAGCTTTTTTTTTAATAAATTGTTTTTGTGCCAAGCACAGAAAAGAATAATATAATTACTAACACATTATACATCACTTTTAAAGGATAAGTTTACATTTCGTAAAAAGTTACACCCATATTCAGGGTGTAACTTGTAACATGTTACTGTAACACCAGCCCCCGCCAACCCACCCACCAATCACCATTGTGACAGCTAGTGGGGAAGCTTTTCCTCTGTCCATCGGCCGTGTTATTCATTCACAGAGTTCACTGTGTGGGAAACTACAAGTTCCAACAGCTTTTGCGGCTGTCGGCTTGTAGTTCTCAATGAACTACCATGGTGCTGTTGAGCACTGTGGTAGTTCATTGATTCTTCCCATCAAGTGTGAAATGGCCTACCCGTACAATGTAAAGGCTGACAGCTCATACTGACAGTCTGCAGGAGTCTTGCATATCAACAGAGATCTGCTGATTGTTGGTGCCATGCTTTCCAGGCTCATAAAAAACATGACTAGTAAATGCACATAAATCTGCATTTATTTATTTATTTATTTTTAAAAGCGAACTTATCTTTTAATGCTTAAAATAAAATGTGACATTTTTATTAAAAAAATTAGATTGCTCAGGTTCTAATAATTAACCAACTGTTGACATTGGCCATGATACACAAGTTCAAAACAACACCAGTGAAGTACACAGGGCATGTATAGGTCACCATGTCCTTCTGCCCCACTGCCACTCTTCCCTCTGCCTTTGTTGGCAATTCCCAGCTGTCAAAATAACAGCTGAGACTTTCCATGTAAATATTGCAACTGCTGCTGTCAAAAATCAACCTATTATTTACTCTAGTTCATTCACCTGCAGATCAAACAGATGCTTTTGGCTTCACATAAGATGTCAGTTAAAGCAACTAGACAAAAGAAAAACAAACTTTTTAATTTTGTTCCTATTTAACCTCTTATTAAACCTTAGTTTACCCTACTTTGCCCTAAATAAATATTTTATTATTTCCCCATTTTATATTCCTGTAGATTTTTGTTTATTTTATTTTTTTTTGTTTGTAATGTTCAACAGTTTTCTTTAGTGCTGTACTAAAAATTGCAAATTTAAAAAAAAAAAAACCTTACTTTAAATTGGAAATTACCATGCAAAGCATTTTATTTTTAGTATAATTTTAAACATGCCAAGTAATAGAATACAATTTTTAGATTTATCAACTGCAACACTTTTTTAATCTAACTCTGGTTAAAGTAGAAAATGTCTGTGTTTTTTTTGTTTTAGTTTTTTAAATGTTGTTCCTTTTTTATCTAAGGACAATATCATCAACAGACAGTTTTGTTTTTCCTAAAAAAGATACTGTATACATACTGCATATTACTATTTTTATTTAAAAAAAATAGGTTATTGGTGAATAAACAGTCCCATAGCAGAAATGTAAAAAATGCTTTGGTCAATAGCAGACGCAAGTGAAGCAGGCAAAGTTCAGTTTGCAGGAGGTTCAGCAAACCAGTAAAGAGTCCTCTAAACCTGAACATATCACCAAATTCCATTGAAGTCTATGGGAGCCAAATGTTGTCTCTTTTTTTTTTTAATCTTTGCCTTTATTCATGGACAATTTTGAAGCTTTTCCTAAAAAAGGGTATGGCTAAATGTAACTGCCACAGAGGGCATATACCACTGCAAACATTTTTTTTAAAAACACTATTCAGCAGGGAGAGGGTCTTTAATATGACCTAAAGGGAAACATTAAAAATACAATAATCATGTAAATAACATGCTTTGGGCATGCCTTAAACATGCATGTGAATTTGAGAATGCAGTAGAATGTACTGGGAAGGATGGGTAGAATGCAGAAGGATGTAAAGTGATGTTTTTGTGTTTACAAACAGCGGTAGGGGATCTGTTATTTATTGGTAGCACTAATGCTTCTAAATGCTAGATCTCTACTATCTTCTTATGTCAACAAACCAGGAGATCTATCATTTAGAGGCAGTACCACTACCACTGATACATGAGAGATGCCCCTTGTCTTCTGTTTGTTAACAAGCTGGCGGGGATCCTGAGTGACATCAATGATCAAATATGATCATGACCATGGCACCCAGCATCTCCACTGGCTTTTTTACATACACCTGGAGGAAGTGGACATTTTGGGACCTTTCAGATTCTGAAAGTCTCCCGATAGACCCCCACATGCTTCTTGAGGGACAGGATGTGGGTATGAGGGCCTCGCCCCCATCATCATGAGGTTTTGCCGCTACCTCCAACCCCCTACCAATGTTGAGGATATGTGGCTTGGGATGGTTCAAGAAGGGGGGTGCATGTTTGCTGTCCCTTCTTTCCTGGCCAACCTAACTGTGCCTTGTTATTACACCTTCCATTAGATATCATTACTACTTTATACCAGGTAGATGCTCAATAGAACACTCCCTATATACTCTTTTAGTATTATAAGGAAATGTGATTGATCTTCATTGTTCTCAATTAAAGTGTAACTTTTGTGTTGGTACCCTGCCACTTAATTTTAATGGTACCCCAACACCCTAAACTAAGGTACTACCATGCATTGTGGTGTGCTGCATTGCTAAATATTGTTCATGACCATTTTGTCTGTTCTAATGCATTGGCATGCAAATGTAAGGGATATCTTAAACCAACTCACAAAATAATGTGCATTAGCAATTATGCATTCACACAGCACACCACACCAGAATGGAAAGGTATGAATGGGCTGCCAAAAAGCAATGGTGGCGCTTGTCAATTTATTTTTTGTATTATGGCAAAATCTTAATAGACACATTGCTTAGCTCACTTTTATTGCATTTTAGGCACAAAAAGATAGCATTACTTCAAGCTGTAATCCACACTATAAATAGGTACTGCAATATATGCATTGGACATAAATGTATGCTTTAGCAGATCAGTTAAATCACATGTTGGGTGAGCAAAAGTACAATCACTCATGTGAACCCATAAAAGATGTGCCAATTATCTTTACTAAAAGGAAATGCACAAGAGCAAAGAGAAATTGTTGTAAAGTATAAGCAGTACATAAGTATACATAAAACTGTGCTGTTGATATGCACACAATATGATGAACAATGAAGTAAAACACATTAATACGAAGAGAACGCAGACAGTATGATGACAGAATAAAAATACTCCAAAGCACATGATCATATAATAAGCAATCATAGCAGAGTATGTCATATTGTTGATCATTGCACCAGGTTACTTGTCATGCCAGGTTATCATGCTGCTGTATAAAGATTAAAGCAAAGAGTGGCAGAAAATGGTTTCCTAATAAGTAATGAAAAAATTTCCATACCTTAGTTATTGTCAAGAATTACTTATGGAAAAAAAACGGTTTTATATTGATATGGTGTAAATGTACATTACACTATAAAATGACGTTGGCACTTAGGTATTCATTATGTACACAGTTTCATAATACCTGTTCTCTTTATTTATATTTACTCAAAAATGAATTATATCTATCTATATAGGTTTACTTATTTTTTGTACTAGTGATAAATCTAAATAAGCACAATCAATCTATTTCAGATTTGGAAAATTTGCATACATAGATAATGCCAGCACAAAAAAATCTGAGATTCCTACTTTTAGGCTTGTGCAAAATTGACTATATGTTGCTATGAGGAATAACATGAATAAAAAAAATCAAAGTTCGATTCTTGCGTGAACAAAATTGCTATACAATATTAATGTACTGGCAAAGATTATTACTCTTTGCTGCAGTTTATTTAACATAGGTCATAATCTCCTGAGCCTATTATACTCAATGATTATACTCATCAATTCAAAAGACTTCAAGTGTCAGTGCAACATTTTCATTATCGAATACATCATGCATGTAGCAGAGGTTATATGCATATAAAGATCAAAAAGCTCTCAGTGAAGACCAGCAATTTGCCACCTTGCATAATTCTCAATTGACGCAAGCAGTAGAGAAAGGAGAAAAAGCCGATTTGGAATTCCAGAAATGAAGAAACAAGCACCATTGTCATAAGATGAAGTAGCAGAATGATGAGAGATTTTGATTAGAAAATGGTTTGTTCCATTGTATGACTTCATGCAGAAGTACCCAGCCCATTTGCTGAAAGGTCATGCATCCAACCAACCTTACAGGAACATTTACCTGGATGGTTCCACCTCGGCTTAAGGGATGCTCTTAGAAGCCATTATCTATGCCATAAACATGGAATGTTTGGTCAGTTGTGTAAGTGACATAAACGTTAGTGTAAACCACAAGGTGTAAAATAAGTAAATAGGATAAAGATTTAGATTTGTAATTTTCTTTCCTCATGTTTATTGTAAATTATACTGTATATCACTGAAGTTTGCTAATTAAACCTAAAATGGACCTTCCATGAAGAAGGAGGGTCTGTTCTACTCAACCCCCCTCCCAACCCCCCAAATACATGTAGGATAAAAAATTACAACCCCTGTGAAAAGGATTGTGAAACCAAAACCTTAATACTGCCATGCATCACTGCTGTCTTCCAAGAAAACGAGGTGCTTAAAATCCCATGAGATTGCACTCAGGCCTATTACAGAGGCATATTCTTGAAGAATTTCAAGAATCCATCTTTCTTGGAAGGCACTGGATTTTGCATTGTGACATATCCATGCCTCTCATAGGTTCTTCTTTTTTCAAAGGATTTTAAAGCTTTCAATGCATTTTGAGAGAGGATTTTCATTGGAGGTTCACTTTAAAAGAATTATTCAGACAGTTGCTAATTTATTAGGCAGTCTACCTCTTTCATCAGGCACTTTAGATTAGCTTTGCCATAATGCAGTTAACAAAACCTCCCTCATTTTTCTTTAAAGTGAGCCAGTGGCTAAACTAGGATGGAAAACCATTTGCACATAAAAGCAGGCGCTGCAGTATGTCATGGAACCAAGGCAACACAAATGCATCCTTTCTCGAAGTAGGTACTAACATATACTCAGGCACCACACTTCTGACAATATTCAGGCCTTATAAGAGGTAGCTCAAGCAGGGATCAATGCATTGTGAATGTGGGGTGAGGTCATGCCTAAGCTCACACAACCAGGAAGCAATAAGACCATGTGGCTCCCAACTTGTACTGGCCCAACAAGTTTTTTATACGTTTCACTTTTAAGGGGAAATGACCCAGAAAAGATAGCTCACCTCCAAACCATTTTTCCATTATGTTTATTAACCTAGTAGATTGGCTGCTACTGTTCTGCAGCAGATTGAAGGTCCCACAATTTTGTTCACTGAAGGCCAAGATATACTATATATGAAGGGATTCAAATAATTTGGAATATTGCTTTTATACAAATGACCTTTCTTCAACATTGAATAAGGATTTTTATACAGTTGGTATACACAGTATATTTAACAACTGCTAATTATAGTACATAATGTGATCATTTACATGGGAGTTTGGTTTCTGGTTCGATTATCACACAATAGGAAATGGTTTGTTCTCACAGGAAATTAAAATGTTAGTCATCTCTACATGTCAGGGGAGAAGAGAGACACAGGACGAAGCAGTGTGGAAGCGGCCAACTCTAATTATTATTGTAACTATGACAAGTTTCATAACCTGTCTGCTTGCTGGGCCCCCCAACAGCTACCTATACACAAAAAAAAAAAACACAGCAGGATTGGGTGACTGCCATCTCTTGTAATTCTTGTGGTTGGTTGACCTCAATCTGGTCAAATGTGCATGTGGCTTAATATCATTTTCATGTTCAATAGTTTTTACTTTACTGACAAAGAGCTCTAATATCGTTATATATTTACGTTTTAACAAAAAATACAATTGACATTTTCTGTAATTATTCTTCTGTATTTTAAATAAAGATGTACATGCATTAAGAAAAAAAAAAGGTAACTCACCTGTGCTACTGTTTCTTTTAAAGAAAGGATTAGAATTTGATTTTGACTTGGATGTCCAGTATGTAGAATTCGAGCCTATTGAACTCGAGGAAAGGGATTTTCCTAGGTTATCTGAACTGACCTTCTTTGTGTTATTAGTGGCTGTTTTACTCCAATCTGAAAAACAACATTGTAGAGGAATTATTATTTAGGATAAAAAATAGTGTAAATCATTTACTCTATATTGTTTATTAAAAAGTACATCCAAGAAGATTGTAAAATATCATTCTACCATAATTTCTAATTTTTACTGTAAAAGTGCAGCTAATGCATATAAGACAGAATTAAATATTTACAACATTACCATTTCAGTCTAATGTCGACTATGACATTATAAAATGTGGCATATTTTTCTTTCCTTAAACCAAGGCATTTCTGTAGTTTGTAGACAGAATTTCTCAGAACCCCCTCAAACCCTTTTGCACTTTCTTTGCTTCATTGACTGGCCTTTCCTGAATGTATGATCAGAGTTTTTTAGGGTGATATACCAGATTACAGCTAGTTACAATTATAGACTGATCACAGTTGTTAATATTATAGGAATTGTTTAAAACTATATTGGGCACAGTGGCTAAATGATTAGCACTTCTGCCTGGCAGTACTAGGGTTGTTGGTTCGAATCTCAGCCACTGCACCACCTGCCTGGAGATTGCATGTTCTCCCTGTGCCTGCGTGGGTTTCCTCCGGGTACTCCGGTTTGCTCCCCCACTCCAAAGATATGCTGGTAGGTTAATTAGATCCTGTCTAAATTGGCCTTAGTATATGAATGTAAGTTAGCAACCTTAGATTGTACACCCCTTAAGGGTTAGGGACTGATGTGAATGTATAATATATATGTAAAGCGCTGAGTTAATTGACGGCTCTATATAAGTACCTGAAATAAAAATAATAAATATTGCAGTATGCATTTATCTTTGCTGTAGAAGCTGTACATCTAATATTAAGCTGATATAAGATTTTTTTTTCTTGCTATACTGGGACTTACATATCTATTTTCAAGGCAGAACTGCTCCCAAAAAAATTAAGCAAGTGAATTGAAGTAGCTTTTAGCAATGTCTACATGCAAGTTAAAGCTTGCTAATAATATAGGTTATTATATTTTCTCAACAAAACTCGAGGCAGTGTGGTGTCCATGCTGGACAGATACTTAGAATGATACAATATATCACCCACACTCCACAAATGAATCATTCTTTTATTTTGGAACTGCTCTAACCTATTAAATCAACTAGATGCTCTAGATTATTAGCGACTGATAATAATTAAAATTAAATACAAAGTAAAACTGTGCAATTGTTCAGGAATTTTGCTAAGTGTTTTTTGTCCATGAAAATTAAATATATCATTGCAAATGTTTAACCCTTTTCTGACCGCCCAATACATATGTACATTGACAAAAGGGTGGGCCTTAATGCCCACATGTTGCACATATGTGTCTCTAGGTTGCCGATGTTTATGTGCCAAGTAAAAAACCTAACTGTCAAAAGGCAACTTTTAGTCTGCGCTAAAGATCAGTAACTGGCAGGACCAGCTTCCAATCACATCATCACTTTGACAGGTCAGGCATGATCACCACTTCTTGCAGCCCTCCCAGGCATTCCAAACCGTTTAAAGTTGACTCCGGGGCAGATGGGAAGGAGTTAATTATATATGCAGTCAAAATATGTACTATGCAAGCTGAATTACTGGCAGATTAAAGTTTTTCTGGGCACTGGGCAATACTTTAGGTAGAAAAAAAAAAAACTGTCACAAGAACACAATATTTGAAAGATTTAGTTTTTCTTTGATGACCGCTTGAAAACATAACATCTATCATTTAATCTCAAAAACAAGGGGTATGGCCCCATGGCTCCAAAGTACTTTAGTACTATTAAAACCCTCCATATATGTGAACCACAATCTACCTTTTGATTCATGTACCTAGTTTTTCAGTTCAGATACCACTATAGACGGTAACTAAAATTTAAGTAGTATGGATTTCATCAAATATTGATTTCAATACATTATTAACAATTTACCTGAATTATCTGGCAAACGAAGTTTCCCACAGCAAAAGTGCCGCCTCCATTGTTTTTTGCACATTTTCTTTCAAACGCACAATGAAAGACAAAATATGAACAACAAACCTATGGAGAAAAAAACATGTTGAATTTTTACAGGGAATACGTCTTTGTATTCATAAAATGCACAGTTGTGTGTGTGAAAGCTTGGAGTTGGCAAGGTGTCACTTACAGTCCTCTTACCCCTTCAAAGGTTTTGCACATTTTTATATAACAATTATATATATATATATATATTATAATATATATACAGTCATGGCCGAAATTGTTGGCACCCTTGATATTTCTCCAGGAGAAATCATGTATTTCTCACGAAACGTATTGCATTAACACATGTTTTGCTATACACATGTTTAATTTCCCTTTGTGTGTATTGGGACAAAACAAAAACAGGGAGGAAAGAAAGCAAATTCGACATAATGTCACACAAACCTCCAAAAATGGGCTGGACAAAAGTAAAAAATTGGCACCCTTTCACAACTGCGGATAAAATAAGAATGTTACAAGCATGTGATGCTCCTGTAAACTCACCTGGGGCAAGTAACAGGTGTGGGCAATATAGAAATCACACCTGAAAGCAGATATGAGAGACGTTCACTTAACCTTTGCATTGTGTGTCTGTCTGTGCCACACTAAGCATGGACACAAACAGAAAGAGGAGACGAGAACTGTCTGAGGACCTGAGAACCAAAATTGTGGCAAAATATCAACAATCCTCAAGGTTACAAGTCCATCTCCAGAGAACTAGATTTGCCTTTGTCCACAGTGCGCAACATTATCAAGAAGTTTGCAACCCATGGCACTGTCTTTTCCCTGGTCGTGGACGGATGAGGAAAATTGATGAAAAATGCAAACGCAGAATAGTCCGGATGGTGGATAAGCAGCCCCAAACATGTTCCAAAGACATTCAAGCTGTCCTGCAGGCTCAGGGAGCATCAGTGTCAGCGCGAACTATCCGTCCGACATTTAAATGAAATGAAACGCTATGGCAGGAGACCCAGGAGGACCCCACTGCTGACACAGAGACATAAAAAAAGCAAGACTACAGTTTGCCAAATGTACTTGAGTAAGCCAAAAGCCTTTGGGAAAACGTCTTGTGGACAGATGAGACCAAATAGAGCTTTTCGGTAAAGCACATCATTCTACTGTTTACCGAAAACGGAATGAGGCCTACAAAGAACAAAACACAGTACCTACGGTAAAATATGGTGGAGGTTCAATGATGTTTTTGGGGGTTGTCTTTGCCTGCCTCTGGCACTGGGTGCCTTGACTGTGTGCAAGGCATCATGAAATCTGAGGATTACCAAAGGATTTTGGGGTCGCACTGTAGGGCCCAGTGGTCATAAAGCTGGGTTTTGCGTCCAAGATCCTGGGTCTTCCAGCAGACAATGACCCCAAACATACGTCAAAAAAAGCACTCAGAAATGGATGGCAAAGAAGCGCTAGGAGAGTTCTGAAGTGGCCAGCAATGAGCCCAGATCTAAATCCCATTGAACACCTGTGGAGAGATCTTAAAATTGCTGTTGGGAAAAGGTGTCCTTCCAATAAGAGAGACCTGGAGCTGTTTGCAAAGGAAGAGTGGTCCAAAATTCCGGGTGAGAGGTGTCAGAAGCGTTTTGATGGTTATAGGAAGCGACTGATTTCAGTTATGTTTTCCAAAGGGTGTGCAACCAAATATTAAGTTAAGGGTGCCAATACTTTTGTCCAGCCCATTTTTGGGATGGGTTTTGTGTGACATTATGTCATATTTGCTTTTTCTGCCTCTGTTTTATATTTGTTCCAATACATACAAAGGGAATAAACATGTGTATAGCAAAACATGTGTTAATGCAATACCTTTTTTGTGTGAAATACTTGATTTTCAGGAAAAATATCAAGGGTGCCAACAATTTCGGCCATGACTGTATATATATATATACAAAGTTGGCCATAAATACAGCAGATCGAAATGTGGCCAGTTCAGTAGGGAACAGCTAAATTTTAATCCATCTATGGCCGGTCCTGTTTGAGGAGCAGTCGATCTACTGATCTACTGATTGACTGCTCGTGAACGGACTTGCTGCAAAACTTTAGTTCAACCAACAGCAGAGGGAGAGTCCTGCTGTCAGAATACAATGCCCCATGGGAAGGTTTTCCTTCATCCACCTCGACTGTGTAGGGCCATGCATGGTCAGTTTAAAGTTGTTCTAAAGCCTTTAGGTTTTTTTTACCTTAATGCATTTTCTACATTAAGGTAAAAAAAACTTTGTGTCCAGGATCCTCCCAGCCCCTCCTATACTTACCTGAGCCCGAATGCGATCTAGCGCTGTGTACTAGAGCAGCAGCTCTCCGCTCTCTCCAGAGAAGGCAGATTGATAGCAGTGGGAGCCATTGGCGCCTGCTGCTGTTAATCAAATTCCATATTGAGGAAATAGGGAGCGAGGCAAGGTCCAATTGTCTGCATCTGTGGATGCAGGCAGCAGGGCTTGGGAGCAGCTTGCTAAGGGGGCAGGGAAGAGGAGCCAGGAGCACCAGTGGGGGAAAAGCAGGATAGTAGCCGCTGTGTGCAATACCATTGCACAGAGCAGGTATGACATGTCTATTAAAAAAAAAAAAAAAAGTTTAGAGTCACTTTAGGAAAGTATCCTATAATAATAGGATTTATGTGTATATAGTATCTATATCCCAAAAGTTATTTGTCTAGACACATGCAGCTAGATAAAGTGGATGACTCTATTATAACAAATGGGTAAATATCTGATAAGAAAAGTGTCTTTCTTCATTGTATCTGCCTTTACTGTATGTTGTATAAAAAAAAGACACACTTTGCAAGCAATTTAAAATCTGCTTCAAAAAGATAAGGCCAAACCTGTTTTCCAGCAGCTATAATGACCAGTGTCAACATAAGGAATCTTTCCATACTTAGTCTATTGGTTCATCAATGTCACACAGTGAAAACACTTATTTTCTGCTCCTTGGTCCTTATCTATTTCCCTCAGCCCTCTCATCTCTCACTAACCTCACAACCACCTCCTACCCTGGCTGAATATTTCCATGCCAACTGGTCACACCTAACACCAGTGCATATGATTTAGAATTATCTGGTCTGCAGAAAAAAAAAACTATTTGATCTGACACTGTGTCAGTCACAGGGGCGGACTGACAACTCATGGGGCCCCCGGGCAATAGGGGATCATGGGGCCCCTGTGTCCTTGCCCAAACTCACAAAAGCCTATGAAAAAGGTACCAGGAGCATCTCATGGGGGCCCCCTACTGACCCCGGGCCCTCGGGCAGTGCCCGACTTTCCAAATGGTCAGTCCGCCCCTGGTCAGTCACCAATGCTGTGCCTCTTCTTCAATTCCACAGATCATGCACCTGCTCTTTTTATCCACACTGAACTGCAGACCAAACAGCCCAGTAAGCTGGTGACAATAGTTGTACGGTCTGGATAAAAGCGCACAGATGTGTCCCAAAGGAAATAAGTGAATGGTATATGTCAACTGTGATTGGTGGGGAAAAAACTCACTGCTGCCATGGTAAAAACACATCGGTTTGTGGGAAGTATGAACAGGAGCCAGGCGCTGTGTAGTTTTGTGATAAAAGTAATACACCTTATATGGAGGTGTGCCTTTAATAATTCATATGGTAAACAATAAATAACCAGCCTGTGGCTTTAAGAAGCCAGGTTCCAAGATGGACGGCCCGTCCGCTCAGAGGGAAGCAGTGGAGTAGAATACCTGTCAGTGCAGGGAAGCAGTGACGTCATCCAGGACGCTGGGACGTTGGGTACACGTAGCCCCTGCACTGACAGGTATTCTACTCCACTGCTTCCCTCTGAGCAGACGGGCCATCCATCTTGGAACCTGGCTTCTTAAAGCCACAGGCTGGCTATTTATTTTTTACCATATGAATTATTAAAGGCACACCTCCATATAAGGTGTATTACTTTTATCACAAAACTGCACAACGCCTGGCTCCTGTTCATACTGACAATAGTTGCAACCAACCCTACAGTCTCAACTGCAGCAATACATAGATCATATTGAATGGGGGTGTATATTACAAGTTTTTCACAGTTCACAAACAGTAATAAAATGCCATAATATGATTTATACATTTATGTATATGTAATGTATACAACCATTTGGAAATACATAATAAATCTCACCAGGGCTGGATTTATACCTTCTGCCAACCTAAGCCAAATGTCTCGTGCCTCTTCCCTCCTACCCTGGTTTAATGGCTAGTCTTAGTATCATACTATCAAAATCAAACATCATGACTACACAAGAAGAGGCTGAAGATTTTTCCCATTCTGCATTAGCACACATAACCTGGGAGAATAAAGAAATCTCACTCTACACTGCTAGCAGTTTGGTTCTTGGTATACAAAATAAATTGGATAACTGTAAGTACACAGTAATGTATTTCACCAACAAAAATTCACTAATCATACAGAAAAGCAACAAAAAGGACCTGACTGCATAGTTCTGGTAGGGTGGAAGTCTATAATCTTTTTATTACACAAGGAATTAATTACTGGAACTAACATGATGTGCAATTAGCTATGTGGCGCTCCTGGCAACCCTGCTGCCCTAGGTCACAATCTATGTTGCTCTGCAAAAATTTGGATCTGACTCAAGTGGATATGCTGTTAGCTACAACATAGGGCATTATATGCTAGCATTAAAACATATGTAGGAGGCAATAGTAACAAAAATTTACTGTATATATACCAGAGGTGGCACTTGACATAATAGCCACAGGCTACTAAATGATGTCTAAATACTTATTAAGCATTTATAAAATTTTTAATATGTAAATTACTAAGCCATACTGTACCTTGCAAAGAGTTGAAAATAGTGAAGAGGTACAGGAAGGTAGGAGCAGCTTTGTCCCAGGCAAAAAAAGCAAACCCCCATGTCATTCCCAGCAGGAAGGTAAGGCTGACAACACTGCGCAGGTTCCGCATGACTTCCTCTCGGATGCTGCGATTGGTCCTCTTTCCATTTCTTCCACAAATCTGTACCATCACCACAATGAACATGGCTACATTCATCAGGAATATAATTCCAAAGTAGGCCACGCAAGTCACATAGAAAACAGTATCGTCATTTATCCAGCAGCTGAAACAAATCAAAAGGCTTGAGTATTCTTGAACAAAACATTTTTCATTTCATAAACATATGATTTGGATGTTGGAGTTTACTTTGTGAATTAATTTCCAAGTGGTAGAATTAGTGCTGAAATATACTGAATATGAAAAATAAACACCTGTATTGTTCAGATACAAGTTTTTTCTGTATTGAGATACAAATATGCAGTGCGAACAATTGTGGGAAGCTTTTCAAACTAGGTGTAGTTATTAAATATGCCATAATATTCTACGAATCCTTAGGCTTTTATCAGAAAAATAAGCCATCAAAACACATATAATGCCTCTGTGTACTAAGACACTGTGTAAGTACTTACCTAATTCAACTTGTTACAATAGTGACATATACAGGATGTCATACCTGTACATATACAGGATGTCATACCTGCAACTATGTTCTCTAGTGCCAAAAAATGATTTGTGAGCTTTAGTGCAGACACCAGTGTAGAAAAAGAAAGGTGCACTAACCAGGCATAACCTAATAATTTACATGTTTAAAGACATTTTTTATTGTACATGGTAATCTTTAATAAACTACTGGCTGTCTTGAATTTAAAATGTAAATTATTTTATAAGCGTTTAACAGAGCAGCATCTTAATCATAAGTCAACCATCATGAAAAAATTAAATAGACACTTACAATGGATCACCATTATTTCCATCAAAATGAGCTCCATACAAACTATTTCCATAAGCAATGTTCCTGTGTGTACTGGCCAGAACAATGGCGACCACTATAGCAGGGATACCTAAAAAAAACAAATAAATGGTAAACCATCATTGATGATTGATTTATATTTAATTATGTAAAACACAATCATTACCTAGGGATAACCTTGTCAGGTACCCGCTCCCACTTCCTCTGAAATCGCCTAGGTGATTCCACCTGAAGTTTTCCCCGCACCTTTCTGCCTGCAGCTTCCTGGGGCATGTCACAAGTCCCAGGAGGCTGTGGGCCCATTCACAAAGTGCAGTGCGACTCATGCATGCACTGTGGGGAGCCGGCTGAAAAGCCCACAAGAAGTCACAGCTGGCTTCCCAAAGTAAACATGCCGTCATTGGGGACCCGAAGACCGGCGAAGAACTGGCCTTGGTGAGGACAGCAGTGGATCCCTGAACAGGCAAGAGTCCTTTTATTAAAAGTCAGCAGCTACAAGATTTTTAGCTGTTTACTTTTAATTTTTTTTGTCAGACTAAAGAACCTCTTTAAAGAGGTTTTTCAGAAAGGGAGTTCCTACACCCTCAAAATGTTGGGTTCTCCCTCCTCCTTTCTCTATTCACCAGGGTCTGACTCTGCTTTCCTTATCATTCCATTTTGGATACTGTGTTTCTGTATGTATTTGAACATCATATGTAGTGTATATGATGATGTATATGAACATCAGCTGCTATGTGAGCAAGTGGTGCTCACATTTCTTATGTACATGCATGCATTCTTTTTGGCTATAGAATGGAATTAACAGTGGAGAAATTACCTATGCTGGATTGTGCTTGATGTGATAAGACATACTTGGATATTTGTACCATCTGTATATTTGTGTTTATATGCTTTATACAACTGTGAAGGAGTTTAAACATCCTAACAGAGTCATTTATTGCTGATTACAAAATAGTGTAGATAATAGTAGTGTGCAGACCTTTATTGCTAATTACATGTACTGTAAGTATTGGATTGTTACCATATGTCTGATTTACGCTACTTTTACCAATTCTTTTTTTTTTTGCTTTTGATTCATGAAATCTTCCACAATTTAATTAATAACCAGTAATATGTTGCTTGTATGCACTTACCCCAACCTATAATGCAGAATTTCAGAATGTATCGACGAATGTATGTATTGAACACTTTTACTAGAGCAATGTACATATGTACAGCCTCTAATCCCATCCAGGTGAAGGTAGCTAAAAGAAAGAAGTGTAGCAGGGCAGCAACCGCTATACACAGCTCATTGATTTCAAAGGTTGCCAGCCAACTATCCAGGAGGAAGAAAAGGTTCAGGAAGAGCAGAGCAGTGCTTAGGTTCATCAAGATCTTAGACGGATAATCACGCCTTATTTTTCTGAAAGATAAAAATAACAATCAAAGCTTTTTTTTATAGCCTTCAGGAAACCATTTAGAAATTTAGAAAGAAACATACAGAAGAAAAAAAGGTTTGCTAAAATTACCATAGATGTTTGATATATCTATTTGTTTTGTATGCTTTTTAGAAGTCTACTGTATATGCAAGCATGTGATAAATAATTAGTCGTGTTTATAACAATTTGAAGCAAATTATGTAAAACCCAAAATATAACAGTGAAGCCAAATCAGAATCAGATAGGAAAAAAGTTAAAATATATCTAAAATCTCTGCTAAGAAAGAGAGAAAGAGAAATAAAAAACGGTCAATAATAAAGTAATACAAATATCAATAATAATGATTGACATACTCAAATGCAATGTAAGTCAGGAGTGTAGCAGCCGTACATATAGCAGATATTCCACAGCCAATATATGTTATGAAGGTAAGTATTTTTGCATTTTCTGAATCTAAATACGACTGCCCTCTCTGGAGGTCCTTTAAAAAAAAAGAAGAATATTATGGTTAAAATAGGTTGATTTTCACACATATTCCTATGTTGTCAATTTGGGGTTCTTGCAATAAAATAACCCATTAAGTGTGAGTTGACACCACTCAAGTGCTAACTAAAGCTGGGTATACAAGTGCAGTTTTTTTTTTTTTGTTCAACCAGTGGATTGGACAGAAAAATAAACTGACAGATCCCTACATTAACACAAGTGACATTGATGTAGGGATCTTTCCCACTGTTCTATTGTATTCAAACAGTGGGGATTCCCCCTTTCCTGTCAGAATAAACAGATCATTGCTTGCAACAACTGATCGAATGCTGGTTTTCCTGCATGAACATTCGACAGAAGCTGGTCATTGGCCTAACTTCAGTTGAACAGACAGCGGTACATGCAAAGTGAAAGTTGGCCGGTTCCTTCTTAACCAGAGGAATTTTGGTATGTGTGTACCAGGCTTAAGAAGTAGAGCAGGGGTGCACCAATGGGGGTTGCAGGGGCCGTAATTGCAACCTGGTCCCATACAGGGACAGCAGGATCTGGATTGGACAGGTGGTGGGGGTGGCATACAGAGGAACCAATGCCCTCCATTTTCTTCCCACATTCTTTCATCGGCTGCAGGAGGAAAATGGAGAGGATCGGTTCCTCTACATGCCACTCCCGCCACCTGTCCTATCCAGTTCCTGATTCCCCCAGGCCCCTGTGTTCTCTACTGCCCCCCTGCAGCATTGCTAGGTTTCCCCCCCTCCTTGCCCACTGGCAGCTGCGGGGATGTGCCAGGATGCGTGGAAGGGGCCAGTAAATATGGCATTCTACCAGCCCCTTCTTTTTCTGAATGGACAGAGTCAGTAATTGGTACTAATGCTTCAGTTTGTGAATAAACAGAAAGCTCTGTACAGAGCTATTCCTGTCCATTCATTCTGTGCAGCTGAGGCTGCAGAGATTGAGGGCTGTGTACTCTCTTTTTTCTGTCCCAAAGATGTAACATCAGAGGTCTGTTTAGACCATGGATGTCTCCCTAAAAGCCCCCAACGGGGCTCCTAAAAAATGTAATAAATAATAAAAAATAAAATGGCAAAAAATAATAAAAGATAAAATAACAAATATAAAAAAATACAAACACCAGTGGCACAAGTACCAGGGGGTGCAAAGGTTACACTTGTGACTGGGCCCTGGCATTACGCCATTGTGGGAGGGCTGCAGAAACTGTGAAATGGTCCTGTTGCAGGACCGTAATAAAGGGCCCTATGATGGGAGTAATGGGCCACGGGATCAGTGGGAAGGGCCCCGGCCGGGGATCAGGGTTTCTAGCACCGGGACCCAATAGGTTCTAGTTATACCTCTGAAGTAAAGTGTCTGTTGTAGTTGACAGAACTATATAAAATCTTCATAAAAATTGTGTTACAATGCATTGCCACTCACTGTTAATTGCACCCCAGAAAATGTATGAAGTGGGCTGGAACACCAAAGTGCACAGATGCAAATGCCTTGTTTGTTGAGTTGCAATTTTGTGTTGTTAAACAGCCTATTCAAATTGAATGGGCTTCATAATGCATCGCACCTCAATGAAAAAAAATGCTGTGATGTAAATGGGCCCTTTAACCAGTTGCCACCAGTTAACTCATAGGTGCAGCGGCAAAAGGGTCACCATGTATATGCATCAATGGGTGGCCAAGGTTTCTGTGCTGACAGCATACTCATCTTTCCAGCACAGGGACCGAGCTGTCAAAGACAGCCCTTGGTCCCCACAAAAAATTTGGGTAACAATGTGACAATCAATTACAGTGGCACATGATGGCTGATCCTTTGCCCTTTGGGCATACAGAACCTTTAAAGGGACACCGATTCTGGACGGGAAGGGGTTAAATATTGAAATTAAAATATGAATTATTGAAAAAAAAAATATTTAATAAGGAGACATGCAAAACTGATACTTATTCCTGAATGCAGGAGAGGAATTTAAAGCACACCACCTACTTATATCTCACTTCCACTGTAGCACAACATTTCCTCACCGGAGTTTCCACCCTGTCATAAACATTACAATCTTATTTGGCTTCAAGCCAAATGTTGTAGTCAGACTCCTACCACTAAATTCTCAGTTTGCTCTGAAGGAGATTACAGCAAGGGTAACTTAAACACCTTGTTTAACTAAAGGTGGGAATACACGATTAGAAAATCGACCGATCGGTCATCCAACAATCGGGAGGCATTCGTTCGTTGGTCGAAATCATGGCCCACATTAACCAATCTAAAAAAATCGTTCATGGGCAATACGTAGTGTTGATGTCTTCTGTACAAGTGGAAGTGATGCAGTGTGCGTGTGACCTTGTAGCCACGCCCTTTCTGCCAGTACGAGCGATATACACAACAATTACCAGCAATGAGTATAATATCGTTTATTACATGACCTATATACATAAATAGTGATACATAAAATATAACATGCATAATTCTGGTTTCATCATCTCATTCGGCCAATCTACTTTTAACATTTGGATTTTTCGTTCATTTTTACGAAGACTCCTTGGACATAAACATCCGGGTCATCATCTGTTTCCGCTCATGCGTGATAGCACTTGATAGATTTTTTTCGTACGACCGTCATACCACCACATAGAAAATCAGTCGTTCGTATGCGAAACGACAAAATTTTTCACTGTTGTTTAACAGGATTTTTTTGTTCACAATATTGTTATTGGTTAAAACATCCTACTTATCACCGAAGAGAAAATCGTTCGATCAGTGGCTCCGCAAAATTTTTCTTATCTTATCGTGTATATGGGGCATAATGCTGGGTTCACATCTGAGTGATGTGCCAGCGCATCTGTGTTGCTGCAAGTTTTTGCACACATTACAATGCATTGTGCATGGGCAGTCCATTCATTTGAATGGGCTGATTACTACAACTAAATTGCACCAAAGAAGTGCATGGTCCTTTCTTTGTAAAGTCATGCCCACCAAAACGCATGGTACTTTGTTATCATGCGTTTAGTTGTGTGATTTTTCTCACACACATTAGCAAGATGCATTGGGATGCCATTAACAATTAATGCCTGCATTTATGTCCTCTATGTGATTTTGAGTGCTGTCCTACACAAGTGTGAATGGAACCTCAAGGTGATTGTAAAGGTATTTTTTTTTAACTAAAAAACAAACATGTTATACTTACCCGATCTATGCAATGGCATTGCACAGAGCAGATCCAAACTTCCTCTTCTTGGGTCCTCCACTGGTTCTTCAAGCTCCTACTCTTCTGAGTGTGCCCCTATAGCAAGCAACTTGCTCCTGAGCTGAACTGTATGTGTCCATTGAGACACACACAGCACTGCTCAGCTCCACCCCCTGCTCTCTGCTCATAAATTTGATTGACAGCAGCTGGAGACAATGGTTCCTGCTGCTGCTGAGCCTCCTGTGAGAGGGGAGAGAGAAGAGCAGTGTGGCTGGAGACAGGCACAGCGCTGGATCGGGTTCAGGCTCAGGAAAGTGTTTAAGGGGGGCAGGGGGGAACTGACATAGAAATCTTTTTTACCTTAATGCAGAGGATGCATTAAAGTAGTGTAAAAGCTTACATACAGCAAGTGAAGTGACTGCCTCAGGTGATATATAGAGATGAAAGAAATCCTCCTAAATAGGTTGCACCTGTTTATGTGCAGCTGTCTGTCCCCTACATCCATTCAAAGTGCAGAATTTACACAGGATCTTTCAGCGCTGAAAAGCAGGGGGTGGGGAGCTGAAGTTACATCTGTGAGGACAGCTCTGAAAGCTTATTGGAGAGAAGGAACATACCCCCCTCCACACAGCTCACATAAACAGAGCTAAGGATGTCAATCTGCTGCAGATCCCTCCCCTGTCATCATTTTTCTCTTGGTGTCAGGAAAACCTGTCAGAGGTGACTCTGGTGCTAATAGCAAAGGAACAAAAGACAGACAGAAGTGACACTTAGTGCTCCTAATTGTGACAAGTACACATTATAGAGGGATATGCTTTGTTCATATTTCATGTCTGAAGTTTACAACCACTTCAACGTTGCAAAGAACCCTTTGCCCTTTAATGGCTTCCCGACCGCCCTATAGCACAAATACTGCTACAGGGCGGCATGGGTGCACAAAATCATGTATATATACATATATATATATATATATATATATATATATGTGTGTGTGTGTGTGTGATTTTGCATTTCTGGGTAGGGGGTGAGCGCACACCCTACCTGCGCCGCCATTCACGGCCACGACTGTCAATCACCGTGTTCTGGCCAGTGATTACTCGCCGGTGCCTGGTGATTTCCGAGAATCTCCTACGGGGAGGAGAACTGTTTTATTTGCTAACAGTTCTCCTTCCTGTCGGCTCGTACACACTGCTTTGGATGGCTGTGCATAGCACAGCCATCCAAAGCAGTGTGCTTACAGTGATGCACACTGACACCTTCCCACATTAAAACACACACAGTTAACCCTTTGATAGCCCCTCATATTAACCCCTTCCTGCCCAGTGCCATTGGTACAGTATCAGTGCTTTTTTTTAGCACTGATCACTGTATTGGACTCACTGGGGATGTCAGTAACACCAAGTCAGTTCCCCCCAGTGTCAGAATATCCGCCACAGTCCCGCAGTCCCGCTATAAGTCGCTGATTGCCGCCATTACTAGTAAAAATAAAAAAAAAATTAAATCCCAGTATATATACACCGCCATTTGTAAACGCTAAAACTTTCACGCAAACCAATTAATTTACATGTATTGGGATTTTTTTTTAGCAAAGACATGTCGCAGAATACATTTTGCCCTAAATTTATGATGAAATTTGACTTTTAAATTTTTTTTTTACCGGACATATTTAATGACAAAAAGTCAAAAATATTGTTTTTTTTCTCAGAATTGTCACTTTTTTTTTTATAGCGCAAAAAAAAAATAAAAACCGCACAGGCAATCAAATACCACCAAAAGAAAGCTCAATTTGTGGGGAACAAAAAGGACATAAATTTCATTTGGGTGCAGCGTTGTATGACTGCGCAATTGTCAGTTAAAGTAACGCATTAAAAAATGGCCTGGTCAGGAAGGGGGGTAAATCCTCAGGAGGGCAAGTGGTTAAAGTTGAATGAGATAGGAATCCAAAAAATGATAGTTTAATTTAAATGTACAGTATGTCTAGCCAGTCTCAGTTAGCTTACATAAAAAAGTATTTTCTCTATTTGTTTACATGGTAGAAAACTCAGTTTGCAAATAAAATAAAATTTGAAGACAGTAAAAAGAAAATTAAGCTCTTTTCATCCTTTCTTACCATCAGTATACCAAAATTTGTGAGATGATTGCACAAGCAGACTGTCTCGTTAGCATTGGATTCGTTTATCAGCGCCCTGCAGCCAGTTTGGCTCCAGCCACCATGTCCAGCTGTTGAAAAGCAAAAGTGAAAAATCAGCTGTTAAGAAATACGCCACTACCTCCAACCAAACAAGATTTTAAATGTTGTGTGAGAAACATTGGCCGCCTTAAGTCTTTTAACAGCTGTGTTTGCTTTTCCAAGTAAAAGGGGCACTGTGTTTGTACATTATTTATACATGATATAAAAAAAAGAATCATCAAATGCAGCAAATATTAAAAAATTGAGATGTCTACAAACATTTTAATTTGAATTTAAATTTCTATTAGTAAGAAGAGATTGCCATAATGATGCATGGTGTTAAAGTGTCAGGGAAAATAATATATGCAATTCTTGCATGCATGCAAATCACCCCAAGTTTTATGTCTTTGAAGACCCTGCAAGTATACAACAAAACCCGTTGGTCTGCCACAAATGCACTCAGCTCTTAAGCTCGGGTTCACACTGATGCAGTGTGGCACATCGCATGTGATTCGCATAGGAACCGCACTGTATTCCTGTGCAAATCACTTGCGATTTCTGTGCGGTACAATTTGAGTCCCACATTTTGTATGGCTCAGATCGCACCGCATCTGCACCAAAATAGTGCAGGACCCTTTTTTTTTGTCCGCACAAGAATCAGCCCCATGGGTGAGCTTGAGTAAATTGTATATTTATTAATTCTCCAAGGATTTTGTATTTGAAAAGTATTCTATTTACCTGGGAGCTTTATGTTCCTGCCAATATTGTTACATTGTTTGTTACAGAAACAGGAATATCAGGAGAAAAATGTACCATAATTTACCCTACAAATCTGCACCTACATTCTACACAGGATGTATGTAGAGCAATATTTACTACAGCTTCCAGGTAGCTCAGAACATGACCTGGAATGGCCTAGTTGTCAAGTTATTTTCACCAGCAGCACACAACTTTCACCGCACACAAGCTCACTTAGAAGTAGTTCATATTAATCTGAAAAGCAGAGGAATATATTTATGTATAGCCTACAATTAAGTTTGGTGTCCCAGAAAACACAGGTCGGATCTCCTTTTTCCTAAAACAAAAAAACAGAACATCAGAGATATAAAAAGTAAAAACATAAAACATGCTTAGAAAATGATATTATTTTAACTAAATAAAGTTATATTTATAAAATCAATACTGAGTATCAGTAAAGTATGACCCGCTAAACATGGATTAAAAGGTTGAAATGATAAGATTTGCATTGTAAAAAATAAATGATGCATTATGTGTTTAAAATATTACATCCAACATTATTGAATGATTATAATATCTGGATTCATTGATAAATCCTTAAAGCAAAATTCAGGCCTCTTAACTTCCTGCCTGCTTACAGTAGTGTACCATTTAAAGTACCAATTTAAAATTTTTTGGTGGGGGATTGAAGAACCTCTTTAGGTAACTCTCATTTTTCACCCAGTTTGTGAAACACGTCAGGATGACAGCATTATGCAATGCACTAGAACCTGGTTTGCTCACACTTCTGGTCCTCCGCTAATTTCTGTTCTCAAGGGCTTTGGTTCATTACAGCAAGGATACACTGATCAGCCATAACTTTATGACCACTGACAGGCAAAGTGAACAACATTGATCAACCTGTTACAATAGCACCTGAAAGTGGATGGGATATATTAGGCAGCAAGTGAACATGTTGTCCCGGATGTATTGAAAGCATAAGAAAATGGGCAAGTGTAAGGATTTGAGAAATTTTGACAAAGGGCCAAATTGTAATGGCTAGATGACTGGGTCAGAGCAACTCCAAAACTGCAGCTCTTTGGGATGTTCTTGGTCTGCAATGGTCAGGGAACTACCGTACATGTGTCAAGGAAGGAAAACCAGTAACAGGGTCATGGGCGGCCAAAGCTCACTGATGCACATGCAAAGCAAATGCCAGCCTGTGTAGGCTACTATTGCTCAAATTGCTGTAAAGGTTAGTGCTCATGCTGATACACACAGTGCATTGCAGTTTGTTGTGTATGGGGTTGCATAGCCGGTCAGGGTGCCCATGCTAACCCATGTCCACAGCTGAAAGCGCCGAAAATGAGCACAGGAGCATCAGAACTGGACCACAAAGCTATAGAAGAAGGTGGCCTGGTCTGATTAATCATCAATTTAACCCTGTACAAACCTTTAATAAACAAACATCCACTATCTCCTGCGCTCAAGGACTCAGACCAAAAGAAGAAGAATAACGAACAGCGTGTTCATCCACTGCTGATCAAAGGTTGTGCAGCTCTATCATGAAGCTGGGGAAGCTTGATAAAACTGTAGAAGGGGATAAAGGAAAGAGCGCACAAACCTTGCGCATTACCTCAGTAAACAATGAATAATTTTATTTAGGAAATATGCTCACAAGAGTAGAGATACAACAGGCATAAAATAACCATAGTCCACACAGGGTTACAGGTCAATCCAAAGGGGAGATAAAAGCTAACACGTTTCGAAGGGTGGTCCCTTCTTCATCAGAGCTGGGTTTGACAGATAAGACTTCAATTTGGCATGGGAGTTCCCATAGCAAGGAGACATTCCATGGAAATGCTGTAATACTGACACTCAGTGGCTGAATGTCTCCTTGCTATGCGAACTCTGCCAAATTGAAGTCTTTATCTGTCAAACCCAGCTCTGATGAAGAAGGGACCAACCTTCGAAACGCGTTAGCTTTTATCTCCCCTTCGGACTGACCTGTAACCCTGTGTGAACTATGGTTGTTTTATGCCTGTTTTATCGCTACTCTTGTGAGTATATTTTCTAAATAAAATTATTAATTGTTTACTGAGGTAAGGCGCAAAGTTTGTGCGCTCTTTCCTTTATCCCCTTCTACATACCTTTAGTAAAACCTCATCTGGAATATGCAGTTCAGTTTTGGGCACCAGTTCACAAAAAGGATATCAGGGAACTGGAAAATGTGCAGAGAAGGGCAAACAAACTGATAAAAGGCATGGAGGAGTTCAGCTATGAGGAACAATTAGCTGAACTGAATTTATTCTCTTTTGAGAAGAGGAGATTAAGGGAGGATAACATAAACATGTAAAAAACCACAAGTGGTCCATATAGTGAACTTGGTGTAGAGTTATTCACTTTAATGACAAGGTAGCACTCTACATCTGGAGGAAAGGAGATTCAGGCTCCATGCACACTCTAAATACACTGGGAAAAGCGCTGGATAACAAATGCTGTTAATAGTGTTTTTAGTAGCATTTTAGTAGCGTTCAGAACTGTATAGGAGCATTAGCGTTTTTTACAGTACACATAGAGGAAAAAAGAGAAAAAGCAAGAAAAAAGCTGGTAGGGGTGTTTTAGTAGTGTTTAGCAGCATTTAGGAGAGTTTAGCTTTTTTTTCTGCTGGAAATATGCTGTACAAAGACAATTTTCTTCTGCTCCTAGTCGCTGAAACTCAAAAAACACTAATAGCCTAAAGTAGTGTGCATGGACACATAGGATAACACGATTTATCTTCTAGGAGCAGAAAAAAATATGCTGATAATAGCTTCTAGGAGCTTATAAAAACGCTTGTGTGCAAGGAGCCTTAATCTCTAAATACAGAAAGGCTCCTTAACAGTAAGAGATGTGAACATGGGGAATAAACTTCCTCAAGAGGTGGTTCTAGCCAGCTCAGTAGGTTGCTTTAGTAAAGAAAAATAGGATAGCGTATATGAAGGTTTCTATTTGTGTGGGTATGGTTGTTTTTTTTATGTTGGTTGAACTGGATGGACTAGTACTTTTTTCAACCAGATTAACCTCTTCACGCTGAGCTTAAGCAAATATGCAGCCTCTCAGAGACTAGGCCTTGACGCTGAGCAGCCACATATTTGCGTACCATTTGTAAACAATCATGCTGAGAGCAAACGCCCTGCGAGCTCCCAGCACGTGTCGACGTCCCACAGAAAGGTAATGATCTCTCCTTGTGATCGGAACCTTTCCGATCATATGACTGCCGTGACAGCCAATCACTGCAGTCACATTTCCCTAAATCCCACCCTGCCTCCTGGCGTCAGAAACCCCTTAAAGGAGTTAACTACGTAATTATGTTTTCTTTAATGTGAATGTACAATATGTATGTAAAGGGCTGCATAAATTGATTGTCCTATATATGTACCTTTGATAAGTAAATAATAAACATTACAGGGCCCAGACAGAATAGAAACATTGGACTCTATAAACCAAGTTCTACATTCAATGGATCCTCTACCACCTGTATTGCTTTCTTGCTCCGATTGCAAACTCCTCTACTTTTTCTTTATTTCTAACTTTGGTTATCAGTTTAGAGTTATCCAAGAATAATGGCCCTAGAACGAATAGATTATGGCTTTCACCTTCTGTATCACTCCCTTATACCATTGCACATTTAGGCTCTACCATCTTCTGAATTTTTTCAGAGCGGAACTACTTTATTTAAAGTATAACTAAAGGCAAACCTTTTTTAATTTATGATTAAAGTGGTTAGGGGTTGGGCCCTCTGCCAGTAATTTATCGCTGTCTCTGTCCCCATTCATTGGTCAAGATCGTCACTTAGCAGTAAGGGTAAATCCTGAATTTTGAGTTGCCAGCATAACAGGATCAAAGGAAAAATCTTCCAATTGTGACACTTGTTCCCTTGGCAAAAGGGGGATTTCCCTCACATTGGAAAGTTATCCTTTCACTTCTTGTTGAGTCTACTTGACAGGATGTAAAGGGAAACCATTCTAATGAGATGGCAAAAAACAGTGGTTTTAAGCTAGAAAAGGGGAAAGCTCAGAGCTCACTGGGCCCCTGAGCGAGGACCAGCTGTATGGCAGGGAAGGAGCGCCCAGCTGACAGGCCTGGGAGCAACCAACAACCCAACAGCGGTACAGGAGAGGATCTGAGTGAGTACACCTGCACCCCCTTGGCAGATAGGGGAAAGAGCACTTTGGTGGGAAACCAGATTAGCCACCTACCAGTGATGGTTCATCTCTTAAAGTGACAAGAACCGGGTCCCCTGTTCAGGGATACCTCCAGATTGCTGAGTGAAGAAGAGCAGTTCATCTAGGGTCTGGGATGGTACACTGATGAGAGGCTGGCTAGCTCTCCCTTAGAGACTGTATTGCAGTGAAGGCTTGTGAATAGTTCTAGAAGTTGTCCTCAGTTCATCAGTTAACTTGGGCATCCTGTACACCCCTAACCATATCCTAGTTCCTATTCTTAGAGGGACCTTCCCCCCCACTAGAACATACTGATCAGTGCTTGCAGACATTGGCAGCAAGCACTGATCGGATTGGTTTTGTAGCATGTCTGTTCAACAGAAGCTGGCCATGAGGCTGGCTATTATTGAACAGACAGCTGTACCCATGGGCCAAAAGTCGGTCAGTTCCTGCTTAAGTGACCAATTTCAGCCTGTGTGTACAACAAGACTTAAGCCACCCAATAGATAACCAAACCCTGCTCCTACATGGGCATAAATGATAAGTGGACTTCTTACCAGTGGTGATCGATGTTTAACAGTAATCCTAACAGGATCTGCAAGGTTCTGAATGGAAATATTTCCAATGCTGCATGACACAACGTAGCTTTTGAGTTCTTTACTCTCGGAAATCAGTTGTGAATCCTATTAAATACAAAGACAGATATATCACTCTGATTGATTTTTGAAAGTGGACATTGTATTAACAGTAATATAGCATACATTAGGTTAATTCAGGAGTAGGCAATCTGGTCACTCCAGCTAAATTACAAATCCCATAAGGCATACAAGACACCGACAGCCAAGAGCTCAACTTCCAGAGGTTAAGGAAAGATGGGATTTAGAGCTTCACCACTTCTGGAATGCTGAGGTTGCCTTCTTCTGAGTCTGAGCAATATATTAAAGCTCAACTGAACTTTCAGTTTAAATAAGCAAAATACAAAGTACCAAAATGCCTTCCACATGTGTGCCGCTGTTTATTCAAGTCGGTCTAACAACCAGTTCTGCTGGAAAACCATTCAACCAGCCCTTGCAGACAATGCCTGCAGTGCTGATCTGTGTTTTCTGACATTTTGGGGGGGAGGGAGTCCCCACTGCCAGAACACAATAGGGTCCCTGCATCTACATCTGTGCTTGATATGCATGTGTATACTGCCTAAAAGTTACATGTCAAAAGGTCACAATCTGATCGACTAATATTGCTAAGTAATATAAAACAATACCTCTACTGATATGTTAATTTGTTTAGAGCCTTAATCTGTTTTAAATAAACACCATTCTCCCATAGCAATGATCATACTTTACAATAAAAGTATATAAACTATAGTGCATTATTTATTCCTCTCACCACTGATTTACAGTACTTAACTATTATTTAATGGGACCCTTGACTTTTATAGAACTAATGGGGCAAATGACCAATGGTTTTTTTATATAGAGAGTAGCATAAGTTAAGCTAATTTATGTTTTCTTTATTAAAGTAAATATGTACGTAGTATAGGTTTACACCTTTCTACCTATAATTCTGTGTATCAGGCACCTTAAAGTGCTCTTAAAGGCTGAAGGTTTTTTTACCTTCATGCGTCCAATAGACATACATAGGCAGCTCGGGAGAGAGCACACATGGGTGTCCCTAGAGCAAGCAGCTAGCTTTGGAGGCACTCAGCGGGGTGGGGGGAGGCCAGGAAGCCAGGGGCAGAGGAGGATCAGGGCTGCTGTGTGCAAAACCATTGCACAGAGCAGGGAAGTATGATATGTTATTAAAAAAGATAATATCTGAACATTTACAATCATTTTAACACCTTGCTTACCATGTAACGCATAAATGTGGCGACAAGAAAGGTGGGCTTTAATGCTCAGAAGCCACACATATACATCCATGGCAGCAGGAGGTTGCATGCTGAGATTGTGCTCGCTGCTCACTCCCAGCACACTGACTGAGCTTGTCCTCTATGATTAGCCCTATATGAGTGAAATAAGTTATAGAGGTGAATCTGATAGGAGGAGACTAAACTTATGCCATTTTTTTGTTTTTTGTTACTGTGGATTACACTGAGTTCCACTATTGAGCTAGATGTGCTCTATTAGCAGACCAGCACCTGGCAGCATTTACACGAAGCGAACGACCAGTTACACAGTGGCATCTGAGCGGTGCTTTCCTCTACATGTCTTGAAGCTCTTGGTTAAGGCTTCTTTGCGGGCAAGCAGGAGGGTCTCCCAATCATGTAACTGCTGTGAGAACCCAGCACAAGATTCAGAAGCAGATTTATCTCCCAGGTATTAAAGCTCAATTAAAAGGGCCACCAGAATCGCACAGGAACCGCCATGGTTAATTCTGACGTCAAATTTCGATTTAGGTTTAGTCATAGTCTTTTGACTAAAATGCCATTTTAGTTTTAGTCATATTTTAATAAACTAAAATCTCTGGTATACTTTAGTCATTTTAGTCTACTAAAATTTATTGGATTTAGTTAAATTGTAATGCATTATTTAAGCATTTCTCTAGAATTGCCAAACTAATTATATACTTCTGGAGTAAAAATCTAACATGTTATTATTTATAGCATTATGGTAATTCGATTTAGTTTTAATCATAGTCTTTTGACTAAAATTCCATTTTAGTTTTAGTTGTATTTTAGTCATCCAAATTGTTTTAGTCGTATTTTAGTTGACTAAAATAGTGTTAATTTAGTTGACGAAAATATTTTCAACGAAATTAACACTGGGAATAACACTGCATTCATGTGCAATTGATGTGCGATTCTGTGCGGTGCAATTTAAGCCCATTCAGGTGCCTGCAGCATTTTTGGGAACGCACTGAAACCGGATTGCATGGCCATTTTGTACTATGTGATCTGGTTCAGGCAAATGCACTGCATTTGCGACCTGTTCTTGGAGTTTTGTTAACTTTGAAATGACACCCGCAGCAGATCGCACACATGTGTTAACCGGTGCTTAGGCAGCTAATACATTCAAGCTAAAATATACACACACAAACACATATTTCTTGATACCCAACTGATGTCTAAGAAATAGATATGCAGCCAAAAATTGTACCAACAACTTCCAATTTCATAGTCTTACCTTATTTTCTACTATAGCTTGTGCAGATTTTTTTAAATATGACAGCCCAATAGGCACCAGAGTTGGACCCGGTGCACTGTATCATCAGCTCTTAGGCAAAACTGACAGAAACACTGACACATGGTGGCAGAATGACTCCTATGAATAGGAAATGAATCTAAATTGAATATTTCTATCAGTAATCCAGGTGCTCATTGTAGACCTTTTAAGCTCTGAGGAAGAAGTGACCTTCCTTCAAAACGCGTCAGCTTGACCAAGAGTTTATCTCCTTTCCAGATGGAACGCGCACGTGTCTTTTAACCCGGTTATGGATGTTATATGCCTTTTTTACTGCTACTCTTGTTAGTATAATTTACCAATAAATTCATGAACTGTTTACTGAGGTAATGCGCAAGGTTGGCGCGCTCTTTTCTTTTGTTCTCTACTACAGTCATCAGCTCTTAGTAACGGAACTGGTTGACACCCCCTTCCCTTTCTTTGCAATAAAAGTTTGTGATATAAAACGTTATAAGTGGTTTAGCTTCTACTCATCTATGCAAGCAGAAAGCACTGGTAAGTGAGGGAGGAAAGGAGCATTTTCACTCAAAGAAAAATGTATTTAGGGCATTTCCAAGTGATCAATCACAAATATGTGGGCACAAAACTAAAGATAACAAGAGATAAAAATGTGGAAAACTTTGGCCTCTGGGCTTTATTATTAAAAAAAAAACACCCCTCAACTCTGGAAGATGATGAACTAACATGTTCTTCAGTATTTTCGCATGCTGATAAATGAAAGTTTGCACTTTTCACTAATCACAATTCCAGCAAGTGGAAAAATAAATTCAGGAAGCATGCCCAACATTTAAACAAAATTAAATATTATGCTATATAGTTTTAAGGAAACATGTGTTACCTTTTTAACCCAATGTCCTGTTTACAGTATTTTTTATGGAACATTTTTGAACATCCTTAATTACAATGTCCCTTACAGCACAGTACAAGTGCATGGTAAATGGGTAAAAACACAGTGCTTCCTTAATGTAATCATAGTAATGACAACACAAGCTGCCACCAGGTTGCTTGATAAGAACGTGTTAGATCACTTCCTGTGGAATGACTTGGGCCTCTTATCTGATTGGCAATGGTATTGTAGTGAACAGTGACATTACAAAAAAAAATATTTGTTTTATGAAAACAGATATGGCAAAATTCCATTTATGGTGCTCATGACTTGCTACAATTGTTCTATGTAATTAGCAAGTGCTAGTCAACATATTCAATGTATGTCATTTGTTTGTAGTAATTAGCAACATACTCTATAGCTCTCTATGGCCCATTATACTTTATGGCTAAAAGTTTACTAAACACTTATCACACCAAGGATATGGCCATGATTATGTGGCAAAATTCCATTTATGGTGCTCATGACTTGCTAAAATTGTTCTATGTAATTAGCAAGTGCTAGTCAACATATTCAATGTATGTCATTTGTTTGTAGTAATTAGCAACATACTCTATAGCTCTCTAAGGCCCATTATACTTTAGCGCTAAAAGTTTACTAAACACTTATCACACCAAGGATATGGCCATGATTATGTGGACAACCTTCCAAGTGATTTAGATCAGGTGTTTCCAATGCAGGGTACTGTTGATGTAAAAACACTTGTTAGACAATTGTGTGGTTCCAACCTTGTGGAAATTGGCCCCTTTCTTATAGCAAACTTCTGTTCTAGCAATATTTATTTATCAATGCCTACTGATAAAGAAATATTGATGAGTAAACTGTTTACATATGCATAGCAAATGTTCAGGAGAGAATGAGTTCTTCACCAATGTTCAGCTTATATTTGATTTTATTTATGTTTTTTAAGAAGTTCAGCTCTTTGAACATACTACCTACATCCAAAGAGACAACTGTTTATCACAAGCTGATGAATGATTCATTTGTTCAGCAGGCTGGGGGCTTAAAAGTGAAAGTGATGACAGGGCTCCCTGTCCACTGATCACTTTCACACAGTGGGCAGCAAGGTGCACCCCCCCCCCCCCCCGAGTTGTCCTGGATGGGTGTTCCAGCATGACAATGACCCAAAACACACACGGCCAAGGCAACAAAGGAGTAGCTCAAGAATCACATTAAGGTAATGGAGTGGCCTAGCCAGTCTCCAGACCTTAATACGATTGAAAATCTGTGGAGGGAGCTGAAAGTTCGAGTTGCCAAACGTCAGCCACCAAACCTTAATGACTTGGAGAGGATCTGCCAAGAGGAGTGGGCCAAAATCCCTCCTGAGATGTGTGCAAACCTGGTGGCCAAATAAAGGAAACATCTGACCTCCAACAAGGGATTTACCACCAAGTACTAAGTTATGTTTTGTGAAGGGGATCAAATACTTATTTCCCTCATGAACATGCAAATCCGTGCATAATTTGTTAGACATTAATTTCTTTAAAAATTTTTGTTGCTATTCTGTCTCTCAGTGTTACAGTACACCTACCATTCAATTTTTAGACTGATCATTTCTTTGTGAGTGGGCAAACATTCAAAATCAGCAGGGGATCAAATACTTATTTCCTTCACTGTAAGCTTATAGTAGATAAGGAAGGACACAATTTGGTTATAATGAAAGAATTCGCTAGGAGGTAATCAATATTTGTTTAGGAAATATTGTAAAGAATATGGACGATTCCCATCTAAATAATCCCCAATACCTAAAAAGCCCTTATTGATCCACCATTGAAACACAGATGGCATTTATCCAGGTACAAATTTGTGATTACAAAAGACTGGGGCCAGGGGGGGTATGAGGAGAAAGTAAGGAGTTAGGGGTATGCCACCTGTCCCATATCGCTAAAGAGTAGGATAATGTAGGCCAAAGGATGGGAGGACGTAATCGGTTGGGGAGCCACATGAGAAAACCAATAGCACAAGGATGTCAATATAAACCTTACTGCCAATCCACTGAGGTACATATCCATTGGCTGTAGTGTAAGAGAGCTGTATTATCTGGGCCACGTGAAAATAAGCCAAGATATTAGGAAGTCCCAAGCCGCTATGTTTTTTCAGGGAATATAAAGTCGAATTAATGATCCAAGGACACTTATTGCCCCATACGAATCAAGAAATGTTGGATTGTAAGCGCAAGATTTCTCCTCTGGGGGCCGCAAACGGCAATGTCTGAAAATAATAGAGCAATCTTGGTAGAAGTGTCATCTTGATAGAATTGATTCTACCAAACCAAGATAAAGGGAAGTCCGCCCAACTACACAAACCGTCTTTGAGTCGTTTAAAAAGAGGGGGATAATTGGCACGAAATATTGTTGAAATAGAACGTATAAGATGGATCCTCAGATAGAGAAGAGAACGGGGAGCCCATTGAAAAGCAAAGTTGTCTCGAAGGTATTGAACCTCCAAAGGGGGCAGTGAGATATTTAATGCAGCTGTTTTATCCGATCTGAGAGGGCTCATAGACACCTCCAGGCACAAAAAAGAAAAAAGCACAATATAAAACATCAATGGGAACCAAAAACCCACAAGAATCAGTAGAAGTATAAGAACCTCCAGAAAGCAGTCACAAACATATAATTTGCGTATTAAAACATACAGGGAAATGAGCTAACAGTGGCAGCTAATGTTCCCAAGGGAAACCATGGAGAAGCTGCCACGTAAAAAGAAACACTGCAATAAGGAAATCTTAAGTAGTCTTATGATGTGACTTCATCTTCCTTGATGTTGAGGCAGACCAGAGTGGCGAAAGTGGCGGAGGTTGAGCGTTGGATCTCGGTTGGGTGCGGGATGAAGGACTATGGGTATTGATACCCAATTGGAGCAGGATTTTTTCTGCTGTTTTGAAATGTAGAGAATGCATAAGGTATTCCATTGTAGGTAAACTGAAGCCGAAACGGATAAGCCCACCGATAACGGATATCCCGCTGTACCAAAGAAAAGAGCAGTGGTCTTCTTTTCTGGATGGTAGTCAGAGAGATGTCCGCAAAGATTTGAATTTTATGCCCTCAAGTTCGATGTCTGGATTTTCTCTGCCATATTTCATGACCGCTTCCTTAACCCGGAAAATGTGTGACTTGACAATAACGTCTCTAGGAGTCCCTTTGGTCTAGGGGGAATCAGCGCCCTATGAATACGGTCAATCTCTGTGTGAAGATCATCAATCTCAGGCATTATAGATTGAGTAAGAGGCTGGGTAAGGCCAGTGAGATCTTTCATCGATTTCGGGAGCCCCCGAATACGGAAATTGTAGTGTCGGGCACAGTTTTCCAGGTCATCTATTTTAGAGTGAGCTTCATCCAGTCGATCTTGTAATTCAGTAATCATATTCAAATTTTGGAGGGTGGGAGGGTTGTAGAATCTCACTCACCTCCTTGGTAGAAGTCACAGTGCCCATGTCGCGGTCCTCTGTGCAGAGAGTGCCAGCCTTGGTCCTCGGTGGGAGGGGATTAGTCCTCAGGAATGAGCTGCAGGCCATGGGACCGGAGCCGGCCACCATCTTGCCTCCCCTGCCCACCATAGGGATTGGATTCTGTGAGCCACTTCGGCTCCTCCCCGCCGCACGACCCAGCATGGGAAAGAGCCCTATAGTGCCCAGTTATCCCCTGTGCTTATAGGGGGCTCAAGCAAGATCTGGCTCCTGCTGCAGAGTGCTTGATGTGCCGGGAGGGTGTGGAGCAGATTACCGGGACATCTGTTCCGGCCGACCGCGCATGCGCACCTTCTATCTTTTATATTTTAACCAAAAAAATGAGTAGTATATTGTGTGTACTTTCACTTAAATTCATTTTTTTTATATTTTTTTCCTTAATAAACAGTTGCGCAAATATCATGTGACATAAAAATTTGCAACTATCGTCTTTTTATTCTAGAAGGCTTCTGTTTTCAGAAAAATATATAATTTTCTGGGAGTTGAAGTAATTTTTTCCAAAAATTAAGATTTTTACAAAACACGACAAACCAGATAAGGTTATTACAATAAAGATTTTAAGTTTTTTTTTTTTACTACATGGTTGTGGATTTGGGAGTCCTTAAAGTCCTGTACACCTGGAATAATTTGTCCTGTGTGTACAAAAATGTAAATGGTAATAATAATAAATATTGTTAGATAATTATAACATTAAACACCACATTTGTATAAAATGAGTATATAAATCTTGATTTTATGTTTTACTCACCTGAAAAAGTCCAGTTTTGCTGAAGAAAGTAAACTGAGCTCTTGAAACTGTATAGAAATCACTTTGACTTAATTCTGACAAAAGGCTAGATGGAAGGACAACTGAAGCCAAAGGATTGTCTTGAGATTTGTTCATGTCAATCTGTTGAAGATCGAGAGCACATAAATCATTCATATTTTCAAGTGACACATCATATCCACTTTCAAGTATAGTTCTGAAGTAATTTATCACATTAGTTGCAAGCAGGGGCGGACTGACCATTTGGAAACTCAGGCACTGCCCGGGGGCCTGGGGTCAGTAGGGGGCCCTATGAGATGCCCCTGGTACCTTTTTCATAGGCTTTTTTGAGTTTGGGCAAGGACACAGGGGCCTTATGATCCCCTATTGCCCGGGGGCCCCATGAGTTGTCAGTCCGCCCCTGGTTGCAAGATTTGATTTTCGTAGCATAGCAGAATATATCCTTTAAATACTTTTTTTAGGAAGAAATAAGACAAATTAGAGAAAAAAATTTTTTCCAGAAAGGGTTCCTAAAGATTTTGTTTACCTAATTAGCACAATCCTAGAAATCCACATTTCTATCAAGGACAATCCTTTTCCCATTCAACATTACATAATGACGCAAAAGGCCAAAAAGAATCCACTTAAATTTCTAGTGGATAACTCTGACTGAGTCAAGATTCCTTAGATGGGAACTGGTGTGATTTGGCTGTTTTTATGTACAGGTATGTGCTTACAAAAATACAGAATCACATTGTGTTGTGTTTTAAAATGGAACTGTGTCTGACATCCATTTCTATGCCACCATCTAAAACATGCATAAAGTAGATGTAAACCACAAATGGATGATATTTATTTGCTAAAGCACTATGTACTATACGTAATTGCCCCTCCGCTCCTCACAGGACTTCCTACTCTCTAGTTCCCTGGTCTCCTCCCTCCCACGCCCGATTGCAGGACTTCTCTAGGACTTCCCCCATCCTCTGGAACTCTTCAGGGAAGCCTACCCAACCTCACCTAACACCTGACCTCACCTAACAACTAACCTCCTCCACTCCTCCCACCACTCCATCCCCCACAGCCATTTCCTCCTGTACCACTTTCCCCTCCCTCCTAGATTGTAAGCTCGAAAGAGCAGGGCCCTCGAACCCCTCGTGTATTGTATTGTTACTGTCTTGTCTCATGTTCTGTCCCCCTTGCTACTGTACAGCGCTGAGCATACCCTTTGGCGCTATATAAATACTGTATAATAATAATAACATTAATAATAGCAATTATTTTTTGTTCATAAAAACTGGATTTTTTATTGCTCACTGTAAAAACGTTTTCAGTGATGGATACCTCTCTTTTTTATTCATGACTTATAGTCATATAGAAGAGAGGCTGTGTCCATCAATGCTTTCTTACGTGACAATGCAGAATCATGCCTGCACATTGTGTGCCATCACAGCCTTTTGCAGTTTCCATCAAGGGTGAATCTAACAGGATGCAGTAGCACAAGTGGGGGAATGTTGTCAACCTATAACAGGATGTGACTAAAAACCTGTTGAACAATTTTTTAAATGACACCTTTAAATCTTATATGAAATTGTAGTGATAGGGTTTAGATCTACTTTAACACAGTATTAATTAGCATCAGACATGTGAAGGCGTTGCTTAACCAATTTCGGACACTTTTACCCCCTTCCTGTCCAGGCCAATTTTCAGCTTTCAGTGCTATCACACTTTAAATGACAATTGCGCACTAATGCAACACTGTACCCATATGAATGTTTTAGCTTTTTTTTAGACAGATAAATTTTCATTTTGGTGGTATTTATACACTACTGGGATTTTTATTTTTTTTTGCTATATAAATGAAAAAGTCCAAAAATTTAGAAAAAAGTGTTTTTCTTATACAATTTTGCAAATAAATAATCTTTCTTCATAAATCTTGGTCAAAATTTATTTCGTTATCTTTTTAAAAAAAAATAACCCAAGTTAGTTTATAACCAAAAATTATAATTTTTCAAAATTTGTACATTTTTATTTTATTTTTTTATATTATTATTTATGTTATATTTTTAACATACTGTCACCCTAGCAGTACAGTGTCACCATAGTGACACTGTACTATTTGTGGTGGGTGACAAAGTTTTTTTTTTTCATTTTTTTTACACTGATTGATTTTACACCCATAAAGGCTGTAAAAGCGATCATTTCACCTTCTCTCTTGCTGCATTCTTGCAGCCATTGAGAAATACTGTGAGAGCTGTGATTGGTCACAGTTTGTCACATGGTACAAGGCTGTTGTGAATAGCCTTATACCATGTGATCTCTGTGATCATTCACAGATTTCACTAGTAGTAAGCAATGATGTCAGAAGTGACATCTTGCTTACTACTATTCATGTGATCACTGATTGGCCAATCATTGATCACATGATCGGAACCTCCCACAAAGGTCCCGTACAGCAATCGGACACAGCGGGCACTGGATTGCTGTGCTGTGCACTCCCAGGTAGCGCGCACAGCCTGAAAATGCGGCACAGTTTATGAACGGCAACCCGCTCCTGCACTGCTCCCATCTGGCCATTTATGTACATGGGCCGTATGGGAAGTGGTTAAAAAAATGTTTACATGACAGTTGACTACAACAAAACATATTTGCAAAATTCATGTTATGTCAGTACTACTCTGCACCCTCTAGCAGGTAATAGAGGGAGGATATCAGATATTTCCTGAGCTGGTTAATCTGGTTTTATCTGACAGAAGTCTAATGCAGATGAAAAAAATCTTGGTGATAACGGTTGCTGCCCTATACTTCATTTCCTTTTCTATTTAAAGTAACTATAGATGAAGCTGAGGTTTCAGAAGAAATGAACAGTGTTTTTCTTTTTTTTTTACATGTGTAATAATACATGCCTGCACTTGCAAAATTAAATTTATACTGAAAATTAAAAAAAAAAAAAAAAAAAGAAAAAAGATATATATATATTTTTTTTAAAAGAGCCAGTTCCAAAGCAAGATCAATGAAAAGCAGTATGGACAGATCCAAAAAACATGCTTTTATCTAGCGACCCATCTCAAGTTTACGTAATGTATGTAAATGTAGCCAAGTGCCTAACTAAGGAAACATGGAGAAGGAAACATTTCCTTCTCTACAACCAGTTTACTATCATTTACTACCGAGATACTGATGTTATGCTGCACCATTCTCCTCTGGCCAGCAGGGGAAAGCTAGAGCCAAGTAAGCCCATAGACTTATTTGCAGAGAGCCGAGAATCCTGGGAGTTTTGGGATAGCAGCTATATAATGGGACCTACAGTCATGCCCCTCTATTTTATGGACAATAGAAGAGGGGTGGTGCTCTGAAGTCCTATATTGTTTCTGTTGTCCTGATGCAGAAAGGTGAGTGTTGCTATCCTAGGATAGGAAATGTGTTACTAGCAGAATCACCAGGTGAAAATAAATGAAGAAAAAATGAGAAAACTGATACAAGCATCACATCTAAGGACTGGAAGCTGAGATTAAAGGATAAGTATGGTATAATTAAAAAACATACATCCATACTCAACTCCATAATTCAGTATCTGCAAGACTCTACAGCTGTAATCACATGTCTGCTAGTCACACAGCTCTTGGTTTGCTATGAATAAAGAACAATGACTGTCCATTACTGCTCTCCTCTCTGCTCTTCCAGAACTGGGGAGGAGGCATGCATGACTGGCTCTGGCTCTGAAAGGTGGAGCCACTCGTCAATCAGGTAACCAGGTGGATCTTGACAATATTGTCAGAATCCTTCCCAAGCCTGGCGTGTCTCTGCCCAGTCAATAGATGTAAAACTATTAATACTTAACACTGCACAGTATCTTGTTCTGTCTTTTCCATCTAATCTACTGTATTATATGGAATCACACCATATTGAACAGCAATTATGTCTAAATATTATATATTCGTGGCCAATGAGGAGGAAAAGTGCAATATAATGACATACTGTACCTGAAAGTCATTGCTATTGGTCTGAGCTCCCACGCTGAAGCTTGAACCATTGTATGAGGTAGCATTTACTTTGGAAACTCCCAGACACAAATTACGTGACACGATGCTGATAGACGGTCCTGAAAATTGAATCTTTAGTGCCAAGGCTTCTATTGTTTTTAATGCACTGAAAGCAACACAGGGAAAATAAAAGGAAGTTATTGTTTGTTCATGTTTTATTGACAACATCTTGTTCTAGCCCACAAGAGGTTTACATCTAAATATCCCTACAGAGTCATACAGGCACATACTGTACATTCACAATAGGAGTAAAGGAAACCTGCACTGAGAGCTATAGATAGGCTACCACTGTTGATCACTGAAAATGCTAAATGCTTGGCTGTCTCTACCTACAGCCCAAGCACATCATTTCTCATGGGTCTTCCTTAAGGGCTCGTTAACAGTATAAGTGTTGACTGGTGTTTTTCCGTACCTGAGCACCGCCAGTCACTGTAAAGACACATAGCACATAGTAGTTTTCTGTGTGTCCTGTTCGCACATCTGTGCTCTGTGTTAAAATGCAGAAATGCTGAAATCAACATCTGTTTCCAGACTAAGGGGCAATTTCACCTTGTGGTGATCACATATTTCCTGCACTGTAAAACACCAGTCATCGATGGCGTGCACAGAAAGCAATTGTTTTCTGTGTGTCCTGTGCACATGCACAGCTCAGCATACATATTAATGAAGACTGAACAGACAGGTACTGTCTGTGAATTATGTCTCTTCCACAATAATCATTCCAGTCTGCAATTTTTTTTTCCATAGGTTTAGTTCCACTTTAGGCAGAAAAAATTATGTGGGTCATCAGAGGTTGCACATACATTTTATGAATGGGCTGTAAAATGTGTGCAGATCCCAGTGGACTATAACAAAGGGTAGATAACAATATTCATCTGCTATAATTGGCCACCTTTGTATTGCATGATAGAGAGGAAGTGAGGCTGGAGAGCAGAAGCCTGGAAGGATACCCAAATGAGAGAAGAGCTCACCCCCAGGCAGGGACCTTAGAAGGAGGAAAGCTTGGGACTTCACCAGCCCCCTGAGAGAAGACTACCTGTGAGGGAAGGAGCAGCCCAGCTAGAAGGCCTAGTAGCAGTCACTGATCCACCAGCAACACAGGAGAAGGACTAAGTGAGTAGACCTGCACCCCCTGGGCCAGACAGGTGGGAAACCAGATTAGAAAGTAGCCGGGACTGTCTTACTCCAATGTGGCAGGCACTGGATCCCCTGATCAGGGATTTCCCTCAGATAGCTGGATGTGAGGAGGATGCATCTGGGGTATTGGGTGGTACTACATGAGATGCTGGCTAGCTCTCCACGAAGATGATTTTGCTGTAAAATCTTGTATATAGTTCCAGGAAGTTGTCCTCGGTTTCTCAGTTCCATTAGGCCTCCTGTACACCCCTTATCCTTTCCAAGTTCAATTCCCCTAATAAAACTTCAAAACAAGCTCAAGGACTGGTTACTGTTTTCTGGATGCAAGTTAATGTAAAAATGCGTGTTGCCTGCCTCTGTAGGAGTGTAGGGGGACCCAAATATTCAGCAACTCCTAAGGGGATAGTGCTACAGTTAGTATTACAATTCTGTCTGATCTGCTCTTAATAATATACTTATACTACAGATGACATACTTATGATATTGTACAAATATTCCATCAATCAACAGGATCATATCTAAATCTAGACCACCACTTACTCGGAAGAGGCCTTTGTTAATGCACTGTTTGAGCTGCTTAGAATATTGGAGAACACAGTTACAACCGTTTTCCCTAGATCTTCATTGATATCAACGTCATTGACTATTTTCATCAGTGTTTGGACAACATCTTCGACTTTATCTGCTGTCATCTCTTCGCCAGAAATATTTAGCAATTGGTTAGCCAAAGCGTCCGCATTATCTGTGAAAAGACAAGGCTTTTTTATGTTGATTCCATTCAACTCCTAGTGGCAACACTACTGTACATCTACAATACTCTTATCTCAGATCTTTCTCTAATTGATAACTGAACACTGAATACCTGGGATTCTCTAAAGCCTGGTGCATACAAGTAGTTTTTTTTTTAATTCAACCCAGTGGGCTGAACGAAAAAAACTGAGTAGTTCGCTGTACTACCTATGCGATCTTCGTATAGCGATCTCCCTGCTGAGGTACTGTATTCTGACAGGGGACACATCGGTCAGCACTCGCAGCCATTGTCTGCAAGCGCTGATCAAATGCTGATCGGCTGCTGGTTCTCTAGCATGCCAGTTTAACAGAATCCGAACATTAGGCTGTTTTCTGATAGACAGGTTGCTGTACACACTGGTCAAATGTCGGCCGGTTTCTATTCAACTGGCCAATATTCCACCTGTGTGTACCTGTGTCACCCTATTTCTAGTATATTGGTTTTATCTTTGTAATTGTAGAAAGTTTAACAATACTGCTCAAAACAGTTATTATATGCCAAGAAGCATTAAACCCCAAAGCAAGCATTTAATATATTGCAACTTACCGATTCTTAGATGAGATGGCTGCATTCAATTTTTTTTTTTTTTAAGGCTCTTTCCTTTATTATTTACATGGTGATCTGGCCAGCAAGTTTGTTGTTTTTCAACATAAGCTGTTCTGCAAATGTAGCAGTTACAGGGTTGAGACAAACCGACATAGGTTCTCACAATGATCAGCTGTTATTTATGTAAAACCTTTATTCCAAAATTTTAAAAAAAAAGCTGGTTACTGTAACTGCTTATTTAATTTGACCTCAATTTGTTAGTGTATCTAAATCTACTAGTGCTTCTAACATTACCCTCGTCCTAGATTAACCATGCTGCTGTCTGCTGTTCCTCCTGTGCGCTTCATGCAAAATGGGGGGAATTCTAACACAGGAGGTGTGTTACTGGCTCGATCACCAGGTGAAAACAGAGGAACGAAATCCTTAAAAATAGAATAGTTTTTAATGATTGGTCTAATGATTGGTAAGCTGCAATATAACACATTTTTTGGATTTGGATTTAAGACTTTTTTAGGACCAGTTCACAGCACATGCGTTTCAGTGGATTTTTTGTCTGCATCCAAAACGCACAGAAAGTAGGTTATATGGTTGTCAATGTCATAGTTCACATCAGTACTTGCAGTTCTAGTGTGTTCTAGTTGCAGAAAAAGAAGTAGAACATGCTGCATTTTTTCTGCACGGAACTGTACTGTAACACCTAAAATGCATAAAAAAAAAATGCACCAGAACGCACTGGAACGCACATGTCCATACATTGAAGAAAAAGAGAGGGTAAAAAAATGAACTGGAATGCTTAAAAAACACACTGGAACGCGTAAAAAATGCATCAGCAATGCACTGGAATGCGTCAGAAATGTGCATGCAATAAAGCATCTAGAACGCATCTTGACTGCATTTCCATAGTGTGAACTGGCCCTTAATGTTATCATTAAAAGAGAGTCCTGTGTGGTCTCCGAAACACATCACCTGCCATATAGCGCACACTAATGGAACATTTTGTCTTAGAGCCATTCACAATTGAACTGAATTAACAGGTTTGGTAGGCAGGTGCTGACTGTCTATAACCTGGAAGGATCACTGTACACCACTTCATTTACGTCACTCCAAACTTTAGAAGGAATGCTAAGGAATCCAAGTACAGCTCAATCTCTCCACCTATGTATGCATTGATCTTGATCTTTATTTAGAAAATGATGAAAATAAAACCTTTGTTTTGTTCTTTACTCACCCGTGCAGTCTGTTGTATCTGGTTCACCCCAATAAGATGTAAAGTTGAGGAGACCTAAAAAACTGTGGAAACAATAGAGTTGTCAGAGGATTTAAGTTAAAGAAGAACTCCATGTATAAAACTCAAAAAGCGGTGACGTCATATCTTTGCACAGAATTTACCTCTCTCCTCAGCTCTTGGAGGAGAGATCTTTGAAGCAGAGTCATCAATCTGTTAGTGTTTGTTATGGCTTGTTAAAGTGTTTCTAAACCCAGACCCTGCATTCAATCTATCTGGTCTCTCACAGTACACAGAACATGAAAATACAATTATTTTGGAAAATATAAACTGCTAAATATCTTTTCTCATCAGCAGTTAGAGTAGTCTTATGACTTCTATCAGTGTCCAGCCCAGCTCATGTTAAAGCTCAGAGGAAGAGTTTTCATTTTGCTCTAGGAAGATGCAGGACCCCTGAGCTCTGTCTGGACAGTGCTGATTGGCCCTATGCTGATCACATGCACTCTCCCAAGAAAGGAAAAAAAAAAAAACCCTCTCTACACAGCAAACTGAGCATGTGCAAAGTGACTCCACACAATATGTCTTATCAGGAAATAAGAGAGGGACACTGGAAGAAGAGGAGGATCAGAGAAGTCAGGATCAAACAGCCTTTTTACACAATGCAGAGGATTAACCCCTTAGGTCATACTTTCTCAACTAGAGTTCCTTCAGAGGTTGATAGGGGTTTCTTGAACAATAAGCAATATCTGCCTCTTACAATAGATAACTTCCTACTGACAGCACTGTTCTTTTTAGGGGGGGGGGGGGTCTTCCTAGTGAACTCAAATGTAAGGAACATCCTTCCCAGTAACCATACCAGTAATATACCATGTGCTGTAGATAGACTGTTATGGGTTTAGTAACACTTTAAGACTACAAATCCCGTTATACCCTGTGAGTGGGACTTTGGGTGTTTGGAATGGATCAGACTCCTGGCCTGTCAATCTATGCTTCACAGTGGGTGGATCAGACTGGGAGTGACATGTGAAATAACATTGCTTCCTATGGTGCCTGTTCACATATGTCTTGTGCACAGGCAGTGTGGATTCAGTGGAGATTGAAAAAGAGTCCTGTATGATTTCTGAGCAGTGTGGTCCGGTTCAGGAGCAGATTACAGGCTATGAGAACTGTTTCTATACGCATATGTGTGAACAGGATAAGATCCTGAGAGCTAATCCTGTCCTGAACCTGATGTAAACCTGACGTGAACCGCTATGTGTGAATCAGCTCTGAAGGTATGCAAGCACCTGTGTGTATATATATATATATATATATATATATATAAAGCAAAGCTTTTCTGGCTGGAGTTCTGCTTTAAATTATAAGTCCCAAAATAGAAATTGGCAAGACATTTTGTGAAGCACAGACATTGGGGTCTACTTATTTAAAAAATAAAACAAAATCTCTGGATGAATGTTTAAAGCAAACACCCAACAAATGTTCCCCATCTGTTCCTAAAATACCTCAATTAGGAAAAAGCAGTATTATGGCTACCAGATGGAGCTGATCATAGGAAATAATGCTCCCATTCGTCCAGTGATTTTGTTTTTTGTTTTTTTTTTCATAATAAGACCCCATAATGTAGCACATCTATGCTTCCTGATCATAGACTGGTCTCTATACTTTGTAGATGGGGCAACATAAAACTGATTCTTAAACAAAAGAGAGCCAAACAGACTTCTGATTTAGAGACCATTAAGCCTAAAGGATCAAACCGTGATTGTGATCTTCATCTGTTTGTACAAGTTAATATGGTTGTTTTTTATTGTTCTTGCAGGTATGTTTTGAGTTGTAATTGTCCCAGGATTGCTGGAAATATTGACAGAATGCTTCCAATTTTATTCATGACGCACATTCTCAGATTCATGGTATTGCATTTCTGTAGTTCGTTTATCTGGTTGCTATGACTAAATGTTAATTTAGAAAGTTATATCCAGGCAGCCTGTATATAGTTATTCTTTATTACAATGTATTCATTGTGTTGTATGCACATACTTGAGAAAAGATGTTGCAGGTCCGAAACTGTTGCAGGCTGTATACATGCTATTGCTATTGGAATTTGAAAGAAATAAGGTGCTACAGCGACAAATGAGTTCACCTTTATACACAGTACATACTGTATGCTCTATATGCAAAATGGTAATGAAAAGTGACATATTGTGCCAGTAACTGTGGCTTTAAAAAAGTGAATACAATAAACCACTGAGGTGTATATAAAAACAATGTATTTGAACTGATATAATTTTTTCTTCAGATAAGGACCATTGTCCTCTGTGTGGGAACACTGGTCTATTTTCAGGGGTTCACTTTGACCACATAGGCACAACTACTTCTCACACCTCCTGATGATGGGACAGAATTAATGTGACTGCACAGGCAGTGTCATCAGCTCTGTCCAGATCTCTATGCAATTTTGTATGTTATGGACATGAGAAAAGTGGAGGTGTTCTGTAGTCCAGGAGCAACAGGCCTAGAGTGACAAAGCTACTTCTCAATACACACAGTACAATGAGTGTCACCCTAAGACAGGAACTGTGTTACTATCAGGATCAACTGATGAGATGTAATGAAATACATGCTTTCCTGGGTTTAGGTACACTACAGTCCTGGTTCAGACAGAGCAATGTGCCTCGCACTTGCATTACAATTTGTTTGTATTTGTACATTTATGAACACACAGAAACCCGCGCTTCGTTACCATTCATTCACATCTGTGCATTTCCGAATGCACCACAAGAAAATGTACACTTTGTGTGCATGGAACCACAACTCATCCTTGCCTTAACAATTAGGCTGTGTTAGCATCTGTGCATTTGTGAAGGTGCACCAACCTGTACCAACCCACACTGGAAACATGTCCTTTGCCACACATTTCGGAAATGTGCATTATGGCGATGCAAGTGCAATGCGTGTTTGCAGTGCATTTCTGAAATGCGCAGCAAAGCATGCATTTTCTGTGTGGGTTGCCGCACATTCGGAAACATGCAGGTGAAAATGCAGCCTAATTGTTAATGACACCCCAATCATGATTAGCAGATGTGTGTGAAGTGAATGGCAGCTTCAAGTGAATGGTTTTCCTATGTGCGATGCACGTTTATGCTTGAAAAACGCGCAAAAAAAACCGCAAGTGTTTTCATGTGTTTCCGCTACCCTCAGAAGGAAGTTTGTAGGCAGTAAGAATGACTAAGGAGAGGTCAACACTGATCCATTAAAGTTGTATAAGAATGCTTCTTATCAGTAAAGTTGCTTAACAATCTTATTGAAGTCACACCATTTCACTGGGAAGTCGTACATCAAAATTGCCTGGAAGTCACAGCGGCTTTCATGATGTGCTAGTGCCAACCAGGGCTTAAGCCAGGGGTGTATTTACCACAAGGCAAACAAGGCACTTGTCTAGGGTGGCATTTTTCAGGGGGGCAGCACCTCCCCCAGAAGAAGGGATGAAAGAAGGGACACATTCGCCATGGGAACCAGGTGGGATCCAAGAGAGGCTGCGGGCTGCTTGATGGTGTATGTAGAGCCTGACTCTCGACTCTCATTCCCGGGGATGTCCGGAGATGAAGATGAGTGTCTCTTCAAGTAGTGGAAGGCTCTCCTAGGTGGGGGACAGGGGTGTTGTTGGTCAATGGGGGGGGGGGGGGGTTTGGTGTTGGTCAGTGTCCGTGGCAGCAGATGATTTTTGTGCCTAGGGCAACACAAAACCTACATACACCACTGGCTTAAGCAGTACAGTTATGGCCCTGATCCTTTTCCTCAGCACAGGCATCACATTTTTACTAAGCCAGGACAATTGAAAACAGAAATTTTCTTTGAAAACAATGGAGGGGGGAGGGGAGGGTTAAAATTCGATTAAAGTAGTTTCACATTTTGAGTGACAATTACTCAGTTATACATCACTGTACCCAAATGAAATGTGTATCCCTTTCTTTTGGTGGTATTTGATCACCACTGGTTTATTTTATTTTTTGCTATATAAATAAAAAATATTGAAAATTTTGAAAAAAATTTTTTTTGCTTAGTGTTTGTTATAACATTTTGCAAATAAATAATTTTTCTTCATACATTTAGGCCAACATGTATTCTGCTACATTATTGGGGTACAAATAACCCAAAACAGTGTATATGATTTAGCCTGTGTGAAAGCTATAGAGTCTACAAATTATAGGATATATATTTGAAAATTGATCACTGAGACCCTAAAATCCTGGGCGCTGGTATGGCTATGGCAGTGATCAGGACACTGGTATGGAGTATGGCGGTAATCAGGACATTAGCATGAGGTATGGCGGTGATCAGGATGCTAGTATGGCAGTAGTCAGGCCGCTGGTATGGGGGTGATCAGGATGCTGGTATGGGGTATGGCAGTGATCATGATGCTGGTATGGGGTATGGCAGTGATCATGATGCTGGTATGGGGTATGGTAGTGATCAGAATACTGGTATGGCAGTGATCAAAATGCTGGTATGGGGTATGGTGGTGATCAAAACGCTGGTATGGGGTATGGAGGTGATCAGAAAGCTGGTATAGGGTATGGAGGTGATCAGAACGCTGGTATGGGGTATAGTGGTGATCAGGACATTGGTATGGTGTATGGGGGTGTTTTTGTGCACACTGGGACTGTTGACAGGGGTGCATATTTTATTATGTACATACTGGCACAGTGATCAGGGACACAGGGGCACTGATCAGGGATACTGGAGTGGCTGGAACAGTAGTCTGTGAGTGTGCAAGCAGCCTAACAGCTTCTCACTGAGCTTAAAGAGAAGTGATCTTTACTTTCAGTTTCCATTGTTTACCATGTGAGTGCTGTGATTCGTCACAGCAGTCAAATAGTAAAACACCATGTGATTGACCGGTCACAGCAGTAATGTGATCTGCTATGTCCAAGAGACACACTGATCAACGGGCTCTGGGGGTGCGCGCTCTGTGAGACAGAAGTCATCGCTGCAGTCTGATGTACAGGTAGGTTAGCCTGCTTCGGCAAAGCTTCCCATCCACTGTCTATGTGCAATGGGTGGACGGGAAGAGGTTAAAATGGCCGACACCTAATTTAGAAAATAATTATAACAGTTTTGTTAAGAGACATGCATTCATGACAGATTCCCAGCACAAAATGTCCTACTCTGTACACAGACTCCCCCCTGCATGTCGAGTTGTTCTTAATTACTGTCAGTCTGTTTCAGCCACAGAAACAAATTTGTAAAGCAGAACTATACTTACTATCACTCCAGCGCTGTTTTATCCTGGAGCTACTCATTGGCCACTGTTATCTGCGTCTGAGCAGCTTCCATGTACCAAACTTATTTTAATTGGCTGGACCAATATGATATCACGCATATGCGTGGGAGTTCAGCCAGCTTGGCATTGCTGAAAATTGTGCACTAAGCTGTGGCGGAAAAGTAGGTAAGAAACTTTAATGCAGAAGAGACATAATGGGGGAGATTTACTAAAACAGGAGCACTCAGAATCTGGTGCAACCGTGCATAATGGCCAATCAGCTTCTAACTTCAGCTTATTCAATTAACTGCCAATCAAACCTGGAAGTTGTTTTTTTTTAATTAGATGTAAGCCATTTAAAAAGTGCTATACTGGCAAAAAAGTGTTGTAACTGCTTTAAAGTAGCACTATATACAATGTTTTTTTTTTTATTTTGGATAGATTAAGGGTGGGTTATAGCCCTGTCAGACTGTTGTTTGTGTCCCATTGTGGACATTTCACTTCCTGTCCCATAGCCAAACTGGAAGTGAGATAAAATCCTTATATATTAAAGGAATTCCTTGGGGACCCCTAGGCCATCAGAACTAGTGTTTCCATTGGAAGATTTCCCCTTTATTATTTACTGGGGACAACCAAAAATGTGGGATTTTATTTTTTTCACTTTCAATGATAATGGTAAACAGGACAAATAGAGAGGGTGAATCTCAGGCACAGACTGCAGTAAAAACTGACAAGTGTTCTAATCCCTCTCCATTCTATGCAAAACTAAATAAAAGGTTTGCCTTCAGTTATACTTTAATGAACTCCCCCCCTTCCTCATTGTTTAAAAAATTCTGTTTTGTAATATTCCTGGCATGGTAAAATCTGACACCTGGTTGGTTGTTCGCTACCCAGCAACCAATGATATAGGGACATAGTGACAGTGGCCTAATGGAGAACTCCCCATCAGATATGTCAATCTTGTAAATGACAGTAGGCAACAGTGTTTGACTTCCATAGTCACTGTTCAGTTCAATAGCAGATATGGAATCTGCCCACTGTTTTTCACATGATAAGTGGACCTGATGGGGATGGGGTCTTCCCACCAGGCTCCACCAGTTCCCCACCAGGCTCCACCCACCTCACAACAAAACTTTTTGGCCACTGTGCCCATTTATCAGACACAGTGTTACAGAGCTGCACTGAGAACGACATGTCTGGTATTGATACTCCAGCCTTACTGCCAGCTGCCTTCTACAACAAATTAACATAGGGTACATGAATCTGTTGCAAACATTGACATTTGTGCTGCAAAAGTGCAATAGAATTCTAGAGATTTGCCTCCAGCAGTGAAATATATTATGCCTGTCCTGCCTGCAATATCAAACTTGACCATTAGATGGAGCCAGTAATAAATGTACTGTTTTATAAACACTAGAGCATAGGTGTCAAACTGGCAGTCCTCCAGCTGTTGCCAAACTACAACTCCCATGAGGCATTGCAAAACTGACAATTACAAGCATGACACCCAAAGGTAGAGGCATGATGGGACTCGTAGTTTCGCAACAGCAGGAGGGCCGCAAGTTTGACACCCCTGCACTAGACTGTTTAAATAAGAGTTAAGAGTTAATAAAAATTCCCATTATTCTGATTGAAAGGAAAGAGATGTATCTTGGGAGCTCAGACTCCATCTTAGAAACTGGGATAGCAGGAGCGCGCTATCAGAACATATGTTGGAATAAGACTTGCATCCCTTTGCATCCCCCAAAAGGCAGCTTTGCTGGTGAGGATCACGTATCGCCATCTACAGCCTATTTATTCATTGTGTTTTCTGTATGCTTCATGTATTTGATTATATGTACTTCTTATCTGTTGTTTCCTAATAGTTTCATCTACCCTTTTTTGCTAATAAAGCTTCAAGATTACACTCAGTCTGGTTTATTGCAGAATAGGAGGGTTTAGCTGCATGTCCAGTTACACACAAGGAAACGTTGTAGTGGGGACAGAATTGGGGGTCTAGAACACTCTTTATCAATTCTAGGGAATGCTTTTTAAATGACTGACTCCAGTCTTCATTTTCCATGTTTTTCTTGCAAATCTAAACATGGTCCAAAACTGTGATGGATGCCGCTCCAATATTTCCACGATAGAAGCGGTCACACAATAGGCATATGCAGTATATTTGCTTAGTATACTACTAGAAAACTAGCACTAGAAAACTTTTTTTAGCACTGAGTTGACAATGAAGTGAATATTAAAAGCATTAACTGTTTGCACTGGATCAACATAATCACAATTTAGGGCTGTCGGAAAAATGTCTTCAACATTACAGAACAAGTCCAGCTGAATGTGACAAACTACTACCAGATGTGAACAAACACTAAGAAATGATGGGATGCCTAGCATGAAGAAGACAACAATATTTAAAACAGAACTAAACCCATCAATGTACCAGTTTACTAAAGTAGTTAAAGTATAACTAAAGGCAAAACCTTTTTTGTTTAATTTTGGATAGAGTGGGGAGGGATTAGAACACCTGCCAGTTTGTATTACTGTCTGTGCCCAGTGAGGGAGACTCACCTTCTCTATTTCTCCTGTTTGTTATTATCATTGAAAGTGAAAGTAAAAGAAAATACCAAATTTTGGCTTGTCCCCAGAAAAGTAACAGAAGGGAAATCTTCAAAATGGGTAGACTAGTTCTGGTGATCTGGGGGGGCCCAAGGGATTCCCTTAATTTGCTGTGATTTCTTCTCACTTCCTGTTTGGCTATAGGACAGGAAGTGAAGGGAAATCTCCGAAATGGGACTCAGATAGTGAACAATAAATCTGACAGGGGTTATAACTGACAGGGGTTGCTCTATCCAAAATATAAAAAAAAATTGCCTATAGTTCTGCTTTAAATTCAATGCATGCCATGAAAGCTGTCACAGTGTTGGTGCTCTCAACTGACCTGTCAAGCCATTGAATGGCTGGTGTTATAACTGATCACATTTGCAGCACATGGCAAATGCAGATCAAACAGAGGCTAAGATGGCAGCTTCTTTGGCTGTAAAGGATAGAAGAGTTTGGTTCCGCTTTAAAGAGTTCCTTCCTTAACCAATTGCTAAAGCTTCCAATACATTTATCAGCAGTTTTCTTGTCTATTTTTAATTAATGCAGTGCATTGTCATAGATTATACTACATTTTAATAGTAACTCTTGATCCTCACCATTTTCTTGTAGCTGTATACATAGGACTTTGTGGACAATGTATTTCCTGGGTATTATTTGGTCTTGTTGGAGGCCATTGGTATGATACTGGGTAATCCTCTGGCGGGCAAAATTCTGAAAGAGAACACTTAGATATTATCCTAATACAATTATACTGTGGACACAAAATCAATATAGGCCTAAAATGTTCCTGTGATTAAAATAATGTCACATTGTTCAATCCCAAAACTACCAACAATTTCCATGTTCCTTATTAAAGCCATGTTCCTTATTACAATCATGTTCCTTGTTACTAGGCATCAATTATTACCAAGCCAAGTAAACAAGTGGGTTGATTTACTAAAAATAGAGAGTGCAAAATATGGTTCAGCTGGGCATGGCAGCCAATCAACTGCTAACTCCAGCTTGTCAAACTGGAAGCTGATTGGTTTCTTTACAGAGCTGCACTGGATTTTGCACTCTCCAGTTTTAGCAATCCAACCTCAATGTGTTTTGAAATGCTGAATTGCCTCTTCGAGTCTTCATTGTCCATAATGTGTGAGCACCACAAATATACAAACTTACATCTCACATTTTTCTGACAACAGTAATAATATTTAAATGGGCATTCTCTGCCCAATTTGTGTAGATATACAAATCGAAGAATGGAAAAAGGGGGAACAAATATTTGGCCCACATACATGGGATTGCGCCTCCCACCTTCTTAATAAAAAAAAAATAGTGTGTACATTTTCTGCTACTGGCCCTTTAAGAATCAAGCGTAACTTTTAAGTGGATCTATGGGGGGAAACACATGCCATTCTTGAACATTCCACGGTGCGTGGCAAACCATTTATAAGGACTCTGTCACTGGTTCTGCACGTAGTTGACCAGCATTGGCTCGGCGAGCTCCCTTCCACCCTTCTCACAGGCACCTTATGTAGTATGTCACCCTTGGATCAAGGGAGGACTTTGTTCATTTCTATTATCACAGCACAGGGGATAATGGTTGGCAGTACAAGGGTCGTTGGTTCAAATCCCAACCACAGCATCATCTGCCTGGAGTTTGTATGTTCTCCCTGTGCCTGTGTGGGTTTCCTACCACACTCCAAAGACATGCTGGTAGGTTAATTGGATCCTGTGTAATTTGGCCCCTGTGTGAATGTAAGTTAGGGACCTTAGATTGTACACCGCTTGACAATTAGGGACTGATGTGAATGTACAACATACATGTAAAGCACTGTGTAAATTGACAGCGCTATATAAGTACCATAAATAATAATAAATAAATTATCTTGCTTGATATCCTATGACTAAGTGATATGTGTTGAGTTTTTTCAGTATTTGTTTTCTTTCAATAAAGTTGTTTGCTTTTTCAATTTAATAAACCAATAACGATACCACGGTCATTTAATACTATAATTTTGTATGCTTAATTATTGATATTATGTAATGTTTAAGATCGTATTGTTTAGAGAAGGACTGTGCATCCTACAATCCCTTGTACTCCAAGTAAACCTATGATTTCTTGTTCAATACCAGCAGAGATCTAGTAAAAATAAATATATGTGTTTGGGTAAAAAAAATCAAACCAAACTTCCAGCAATTATTTGAATTTGTAACTAAGCCCCACTGTGACTTTGCTTCAGAATCATAACTATCCCTAGGAACTGTGAATACAAATGTAATATATTTATATTGCATTATTACATATTGTACATATTGATATAAAATAATAAACATATAAAATGTTGCATGAACTTACCAACTGGTGACACAGATAATGCTTTGAGTGTCAGACCACTAGAGAGATCTTTGAAGCTCTGATTAATTTTATCCATAATTGTATCTTCTTCCAAAACAATATTGTTGCTATTATTATACACGAGTAGAGCCCATACAACATATCTGCAAATTTAAGAAAGTTAATATTCATTAAATAAGAAAAATAAATATAAGCATAGTGAGAAATAAAAAAAATATTTGTATTAACGAGTTTAATTATACAGTCAGGTCCATAAATATTGGGACATCGACACAATTCTAAAATTTTTGGCTCTATACACCACCACAATGGATTTGAAATGAAACGAACAAGATGTGCTTTAACTGCAGACTGACAGCTTTAAATTGAGGGTACTTACATCCAAATCAGGTGAACGGTGTAGGAATTACAACAGTTTGGATATGTGCCTCCCACTTGTTAAGGGACCAAAAGTAATGGGACAATTGGCTTCTCAGCTGTTCCATGGCCAAGTGTGTGTTATTCCCTCATTATCCCAATTACAATGAGCAGATAAAAGGTCCAAAGTTCATTTCAAGTGTGCTATTTGCATTTGGAATCTGTTGCTGTCAACTCTCAAGATGAGATCCAAAGAGCTGTCACTATCAGTGAAGCAAGCCATCATTAGGCTGAAAAAACAAAACAAACCCATCAGAGAGATAGCAAAAACATTAGGCGTGGCCAAAATAACTGTTTGGAACATTCTTAAAAAGAAGGAACGCACCGGTGAGCTCAGCAACACCAAAAGACCCGGAAGACAACGGAAAACAACTGTGGTGGATGATCAAAGAATTCTTTCCTTGGTGAAGAAAACACCCTTCACAACAGTTGGCCAGATCAAGAACACTCTCCAGGAGGTAGGTGTATGTGTGTCAAAGTCAACAATCAAGAGAAGACTTCACCAGCGTGAATACAGAGGGTTCACCACAAGATGGAAACCATTGGTGAGCCTCAAAAACAGGAAGGCCAGATTAGAGTTTGCCAAACGACATCTAAAAAAGCCTTCACAGTTCTGGAACAACATCCTATGGACAGATGAGACCAAGATCAACTTGTACCAGAGTGATGGGAAGAGAAGAGTATGGAGAAGGAAAGGAACTGCTCATGATCCTAAGCATACCACCTCATCAGTGAAGCATGGTGGTGGTAGTGTCATGGCGTGGGCATGTATGGCTGCCAATGGAACTGGTTCTCTTGTATTTATTGATGATGTGACTGCTGACAAAAGCAGCAGGATGAATTCTGAAGTGTTTCGGGCAATATTATCTGCTCATATTCAGCCAAATGCTTCAGAAGTCATTGGACGCCGCTTCACAGTGCAGATGGACAATGACCCAAAGCATACTGCAAAAGCAACCAAAGAGTTTTTTAAGGGAAAGAAGTGGAATGTTCTGCAATGGCCAAGTCCGTCACCTGACCTGAATCCGATTGAGCATGCATTTCCCTTGCTGAAGACAAAACTGAAGGGAAAATGCCCCAAAAACAAGCAGGAACTGAAGACAGTTGCAGTAGAGGCCTGGCAGAGCATCACCAGGGATGAAACCCAGCGTCTGGTGATGTCTATGCGTTCCACACTTCAGGCTGTAATTGACTGCAAAGGATTTGCAACCAAGTATTAAAAAGTGAAAGTTTGATTTATGATTATTATTCTGTCCCATTACTTTTGGTCCCTTAACAAGTGGGAGGCACATATGCAAACTGTTGTAATTCCTACACCGTTCACCTGATTTGGATGTAAATACCCACAAATTAAAGCTGACAGTCTGCAGTTAAAGCAAATCTTGTTTGTTTCATTTTAAATCCATTGTGGTGGTGTATAGAGCCAAAAATGTTAGAATGGTGTCAATGTCCCAATATTTATGGACCTGACTGTAGTAGACCCAAATTCAAAAACTGAACATTTGGCTCTGTTATAGGCAGGGGCGGGCTGACCGTTTGGAAACTCGGGCACTGCCCGAGGGCCTGGGGTCAGTAGGGGGCCCCATGAGATGCCCCTGGTACCTTTTTCATAGGATTTTTTGAGTTTGGGCAAGGACACAAGGGCCCCATGATCCCCTATTGCCCGGGGGCCCCATGAGTTGTCTGTTCGCCCCTGGTTATAGGGAACATTTGAAATGTCATTTGAACCTAAACAGGTTCATCTCTTGTCTTTAAAGGCTAAGTTCAGCTTTCATGAAAACAATAATAGATGCACATATTTGTGCACCCCCCTCCACAGCCTGGTACTCCAGTGAGCATTGGAGGAGCAGAGAGCCAGTAACGGACAGTCATCACTCTCTGTTTAGTGAAGACCGAGAACTGAGCAATTAGCAGTCATTTGATTACTCAGTTCTTGATCTCGGAGACAGTGGGGCAGCTGCAGCAATTAACTGATATTGAAGCCACATAGATGAGTATCAATGTTTATTTCTTTTATTTTCTGGAGTTCTCTTTTAAGACAGAAAGTGTGTTACTCGTCGAAGAAAACTAATGCAGCCACCACATTTAAGGATTGGTAAGCTTCATTGTATTATATTTTTGTGTTTGGGTTTCATACTGGTTTAATTCTTCCTGAAAACAGCGGTATATTTCCTTGTATGTGAGTGTGCCTAAGCATTGCTGTACCTACAACCTCAAAATCTGTACATGTAGTGTCTTCGTAACTTTCAGTGTGCGGAATTGCTCGGTGTGATGATGAGGGGAGGTGAAGGTATTTGTAGTCCAAATCAGGACAGCAGCCTAGCATACCAAACGCTGCTCATCCACAGATACAGTACAGTGAGTGTTGCACCCTAGGACTGAAAGTGTGTTACTGGCATGATCACCAAGTGAAAAAAGGGGACAATTCAGAAACAAAAACAAATGCAGCCACCACATCTAAGTACCGGTAAGCTGCAATATATAACATTTTTGTTTTTAGGTCTAGATGCTGTGACAGTGTACCTTGTCATAGTGTTAGAAGAATTTGGTGTCACTCAAGGTTCTCATCAATGTGGATTGGTGAACTGGGAAGTGTGTCTCATTAGGAAGGAACTGGTCTTCCAGTTTTCAGCAGCACTGGTAAATCCCAGAAGCTTTGTAGAGAATTGTGTGGAATGAAGATTCTAACCCTGAGTCCACCTTCTACTGGCAACCAGCATCCTCATTCTGTAGATGTGCACAACACCCAAGGAGGCCACTGTGCTGCCTGGCAGCAGCAGGTGAATTGTCACACAAGGACCATGTGTCTTTCTGCACTAACTAGATCAACACCTATAGTAACAGTTGCTACTTTAGAAGCATTTGAACACTTTGAACTCTAGATAGAGAGACTGCGCTCTGTTACACTGAGGGCCAGTTTAGCCAAGGTGGGTCACGTTATAGCCCGGAGGTATATTTATCTTGAAAGTTGTATGAAGCTGAACAACTATCTAGGAATCCTGCTGTAAGAAACCCTTACTTTTAGGGACCATGCCTATTGGCTTAAAAAAAATGCTGCTTCTACAAGAGTTCTGTGTTTTGACTGTAGAAGCATCGCAATGTTATCCTGTGTGTCTATGCACATTAGGACATTTAGAGGCATATTTCAAGCTTAGTGTTTGGGGGCAGAAAAAACCCCTACTGTTTTGCTTTTTTGAGAACAGTTTTCTGGCAGAAAAAAAAATGCTAAATGTGTCTAAATGCTTATACAAAAAACGCCCAAAGTGATTTATTTTCTGCCCAGTGTGCATGGACCCTTAAATAAAAGTGGGCAAAGAAAGCCCTAAAATCTACTTCAATGGCTGGACTGAAGCTAAGAAAAAAAGCTACTATTAAGTCAAACCTCCCCAGTAAACTTAGAAAATTTTGTAAATGTTTAGACTTTTATAGCTATAACATTTTCTAAACAATGCTTCACTCTCCCACAGCTTTCCAGTATTTGGTCAATTGACTTGGAGCACTGGTATGCTAATGAGTCAGGAGTGTGTAGCTCTCCTGCTCCATCACAGCTGCTGGTCTCATTCCAGCATCCTGGTTTTGGCTGTGATACATTCTCCCTCTCTGTCTGTCCATCTGCAAGGTGATTGATGTGATCAGTCTCTGGGTGGAGACCAAACCTGATTTAAGCCAGCCAAGCCTGCAGTTTCATGCTTGTGATATTGCGTTTGTAACACATGCTTCAAGCTCTGTTTGTCTGCCCTACCTGCTAGTTTGGATTCCCTCGTTGATGATCTTGGATTGGATTTTGACTATTCTCTAAACTCTGCCTGCCTTTTGACTACGGGTTTAACCTTGACTATTCTGAACCTTGCCTGCTTTGTACTTGTACTGTCATTGAACCACACTGCCTGTCTGCCAACTGCAAGTACATGTTTGCTGTGCTCACTGCACTGGCACGGCAGCCAGGCACTATTTACCAGTAGGCCTGTTTGAATTATGGGAAAGGGGGCTGCTATAGGTGAAGAACACAGAAGCCAGCTATAGTGTCTGACCACCTGCATTAGGGGTAAGTGTGACATAATGTTAGGTTGACCCAAAGCCAGAGTACCCCATGATCTGCATTTGTACTACTTCAAGGCAAGTTAAGGTTAATTTTTTTTCCTCATAATTGCTGTTTGCACAGGTGAATTAAGCCTACTTTGTCAGCATGTGTGCACTGCATCACATCTAATTGGCACCAAGTGTTTCCCCCTCCCAATATGAATTTAATTGTAATTAATATTTTAATGAATACATAATTGCATTAGTTAAGAATTTCATATTTACAACATACTCTTTAGGATGGACCGCCACATTAAATGTATTTTTAATTGAATTCAAAGCAATAGATTTAGCTTCTTTTGTTTCTCCTGAAGAGTATTTATAGTGAAGAAGTTGTTAAGATGATGAATCTTGTCCACTGGCATCAACAACAGTTTCTTACAAAAAAGCACATTTTTTCAACTTACAGAATTTCCTAAAGCATTGAGTGACATAGTTAAACAAGGAAGCATATCTTTTATCAACTAGAGAATAGCAGGGGTCCAGTTCTATTTAAATTCCTAAACTGCTGAGGGAAAGAAAAAAGATAATTTGCACTTTTCAAAGACAACATTCACTTAGCTTAATGCCCTAGTGCAAAATGTGAGACCTGAGGGCCACATAACGTTCTTTGGTGTAGTGTGGTGCTTGGACCCCAGAAGTCAATAGAGAGAGATATGTAAGGGATTTAATTCAACAGCAATATCATGTAACATCTCCCCAGTCTCTGACTGTTTCCTGCAGCATACCTCCAGTCTCCAAATTCTTCTGTAGCCCAGGTCCTGTGGCGTTATATATAATCAAAATGAAGTGTGGCTCCTTGGTGACTATGAGGGCAGCATTTGAGGCCTCCTATACCTTGTAAAAAATGACGGCCACGGGCTTAGTGTATTACGTGAAGCTATGTTCATTTTAATGATCAAATCATGTGGAAACAATATTCCAGTTTTTCTAATATTCCTGCACACAAACGGACTTTCCAAATAAACACAGCTTCATCACGCCATATTTAGTAAGCTAAGTAAAAATTCAGATTGATAGATTAGTAAATCAGCCCTACAGAGTAGGCAACCTTATCTAACCTTAACCTTGGGAATTCTGAGGTATCTGGATGTCCACAGGCAGTGCTCTTTGTATTTTATCAGAAACCTACATATTTCTGTTGTATAACTGCACTGCTATCTGAATTGGGTTAATAGCACTGCAATCACCAGGATATTTATTTAAATTTTGTGTGCAGTAAAACAGCTCATCCTAATGGCCACACTCTACTGCTAACCCCCAATTAGGAAAGTAACGCTGCATTTTGCATATTTCCAAATAGATTCTGCTTTTGTTAGGGAAAAATTCAGCAACACTGCAAAAAACAGCATATCTGAACAAAAATGTTAAATAAAGCTTCATTCAAAGGTCATTTTTTTAGGCAGCTGTTCCACTTTGATGTTATCATTACCTTTGATAGTTATCCACAGCTCTAGCAATTCTTTCATGGTTCGGTAAGCTAAAGTGAAAACAAAATAATGCTTATTTAAAAGAATATGTTAGAAAATGATAAGTTAAAGTAAACCTGTACTTCATTTACATTTTAGCAAGTTATAAATTATGGGCATGCTACACATGCCCCCCAAAAAAACAGTCAAACTACTTTGGACATGTGTAGTATGCTTGCTCCTCCTCCCCTGTAGCTCTCTAGCTACATTCACAGGCAATTCCTGGCTGAAGCAATATTATTATTGTTCCTCTGGTTCATTGATAGCAGAGCAAAACATGACCTGATCTGCACATGATGTCAGGTAAAGTGTATCTCTAAGCAAAACCTTTTTTTAATAGAGTGAGGAGGACCTAAGCTGCCTGTGTTCCGACAGGGGAGATTCACCACTTTACTTGTATTAGTGACACCTTGTCACCAAAAAAGAAAGTGGGAGGAAATACAATGATATAGAGTTGTCTCCAGAACAAAGGGTTAGAAGAAATATTTAACTGGGGAGACCTGTTTGGGGCCAGCTATCTAAGATAGGAATTCCCTTTCATTTTCAGGGATATCCTCTAATTGTTGCATCTCTGGGACAGAAAATGAAGGAAAATGTCAGCAATGTTACATAGGCAGCCAAAAAATAAATTGGCAGCAGTTTTAACCTTTCCCTCCTCTATCCAAAACTAAAAAGAAAGCTTTGTCTATATATATACTGGAAAGCACCCTTGCAATAAACTGTTAACCTTTTTAATCTCTTAGAACGCTTTAGTTAAAATAGTATTAAAGCCTTACTGTTTTTTTAGCTTAACACATTGAGCACAATAAAAGAAACATTCCCCAGTAAACTATCAGGTAAAACTCCAGCACTGGCAATTAACAGGTTTTAATACTGATGGCTCCTACTAATTTAGTACTGCCTCCCTGAACTTCCAGTGTTCACAGCGAAGAGTTAACAGTGGACACTGCAGTCTCCAGTCAGTCTGTTAGCTTGGAGAAGGGGGGGGGGGCAGTGAGGAACAGGGGAGTGCCTTGCCATTCAAGGCTACAGGACTGTGTGCTTCTACTGATGAACACAGTGTAGAGAGGCATAATTCTAGTCCCTGCATGCAAGGGCAACTCCATAGGATGCTGAAAGAGAAAGAAGCCACCCTGAAGCAGGAAACCTGGGGATGCAGTCATGGCACCAGCTTCAACTGGATTAAAAGATGAAAAAGCTGCACACTCAGTACGTGATTAAATCAGCTGCTAAATGAGGGTTTTACCACTTCCCTACATCACATATACAGTGGGGAAAATAATTTATTGATCCCCTGAAGATTTTGTAAGTTTGCCCACTTGTAAAGAAATGAAGGGACTATAATTTTTATCATAGGTGTATTTTAAATGATGGAGACAGAATATCAACCAAAAATCCATAAAAACACGAGTCAAATGTTATAAATTGAGTTGCAGTTCAGTGAGAAAAATAAGTATTTGATCCCCAAGCAAAACATGACTTGGTACTTGGTGGAGAAACCCTTGTAGGTAAGCACAGAGGTAAGACATTTCTTGTAGTTGGTTACCAGGTTTGCACACATCTCAGGAGGGATTTTGGTCCACTCTTCTTTACAGATCTTTGGTTAATCCTTAAGGTTTCTTGGCTGTAGCTTGGCAACTCGATGTTTCAGCTCCCTCCATAATTTTTCTATAGGATTAAGGTCTAGAGACTGGCTATGTTACTCCATGATCTTAATATGCTTCTTCTTGAGCCACTCTTTTGTTGCCTTGGCAATATGTTTTTGGTCATTGTCATGCTGGAAGACCCATCCACTACCCATATTCAGTGTTCTTGCTGAGGGAAGAAGGTTCTTATCCAAGATTTTACAATACATGTCCTGTCCATTGGCCTCTCAATGCGGCAAAGTTGGCCTGTATCTTTAGCAGAGAAACAGCCCCAAAGCATAATGTTTCCACCTCCATGCTTTACTGTAGGGATGATATTCTTAGGGTCATAGTCAGCATTTTTCTTCCTCCAAACACAGCGAGTTGAGTTAATGCCAAAGAGCTCAATTTTGGTCTCATTTCACCACAGCACTTTCTCCCAATCCTTCTCTGAATCATTTAGATGTTCATTTGCAAACTTCAGACCGGCCTGTACATGTGCCTTCTTGAGGAGACGGACTTTGCGGGCTCTGCAGGATTTTAATCCATGGCAGCGTATTGTGTTTGTTTAGTGACTGTCAAACTGCCTTGAGATCAATCACAAGCTTCTCCCATGTAGTTCTGGCTGACCCCTCACTTTTCTCTTGATCATCTTTACCCCATGAGGTGAAATCTTGCATGGAGCTCCAGACCAAGGGCGATTGATGGTTATTTTGTATTTCTTCCATTTGCAAATAATCGCTACAACAATTGTCTGCTTCTCACCAAGTTTCTTCCTGATGTTCTTGTAGCCCATTTCAGCCTTGTGCAGGTCTACAATCTTTTACCTGATGTCTTTTGACAGCTCTTACCCATGATGGTTTGAATGGAAGAAGGAGATTCTGTGAACAGGTGTCTTTTCTTATATTGACAGGACTAATCTGTGTACCACATGAGCACCAGTCTGTGGAAGCACACAATTATTGTTGGATGGTAGGGTATCAAATACTTATTTTACTCACTGAACTGCAACTCAGTATATAATCATGTGTTTTTTTTTGGATTTTTGGTTGACATTCTGTCTCTGTCATTTACAATACACCTATGATAAAAATTATAGACTCTTAATTTCTTTGTAAGTGGGCAAACATGCAAAATCTGCAAGGGATCAAATAATTATTTTCCAAACTGTATATATCCAAAGACATGCTGGTAGGTTAATTGGCTCCTGTCTAAATTGGCCCTAGTATGTGTATGTATGAATGTGAGTTAGGGACCTTAGATTGTACACCCCTTAAGGGTTAGGGACTGATGTGAATGTACAATATATATGAACAGCGCTGCGTAAATTGATGGCACTATATAAGCACCTGAAATAAATAAATAAATATACGTCCTACTGGGGAAGCGGTTATACCAGGTTCATGGTTGAGGCTACAACCATGATCCTGGTATTGTTTGAAAGCCCCGCTGGATTACTTTAATGGGTGGCGAAAAGGGGTCCCACCCACCTCCTGCCACCACTGCCTTTATAGGGGTCTCCCAAGCAATTAGGGAGACCGGTAAGGATGCAACCTAAACCCAGCACACAATGAGAGGAACTGAAGGTGTTCTGTGTAATGTCAGAACCTGGAAATGACAATGATTTAATCACTTCCAGTTTTGACATTTGTTTACTGGCTGGTTATAGGCCAGTGAGATCTGTGATAATATATATATATATATATATATATATACAGTCATGGCCGAAATTGTTGGCACCCTTGATATTTTTCCTGAAAATCAAGTATTTCACACAAAAAAGGTATTGCATAACACATGTTTTGCTATACACATGTTTATTCCCTTTGTATGTATTGGAACAAATATAAAACAGAGGCAGAAAAGCCATAATGTCACTCAAAACCCCAAAAATGGGTGGACAAAAGTATTGGCACCCTTAACTTAATATTTGGTTGCACACCCTTTGGAAAACATAACTGAAATCAGTCGCTTCCTATAACCATCAATAAGCTTCTGACACCTCTCACCCGGAATTTTGGACCACTCTTCCTTTGCAAACAGCTCCAGGTCTCTCTTATTGGAAGGACACCTTTTCCCAACAGCAATTTTAAGATCTCTCCACAGGTGTTCAATGGGATTTAGATCTGGGCTCATTGCTGGCCACTTCAGAACTCTCCAGCGCTTCTTTGCCATCCATTTCTGAGTGCTTTTTGACGTATGTTTGGGGTCATTGTCCTGCTGGAAGACCCAGGATCTTGGACGCAAACCCAGCTTTCTGACACTGGGCCCTACAGTGCGACCCAAAATCCTTTGGTAATCCTCAGATTTCATGATGCCTTGCACACAGTCAAGGCACCCAGTGCCAGAGGCAGCAAAAACAACCCCAAAACATCATTGAACCTCCACCATATTTTACCGTAGGTACTGTGTTTTGTTCTTTGTAGGCCTCATTCCGTTTTCGTAAACAGTAGAATGATGTGCTTTACCGAAAAGCTCTATCTTGGTCTCATCTGTCCACAAGACGTTTTCCCAGAAGGCTTTTGGCTTACTCAAGTACATTTTGGCAAACTGTAGTCTTGCTTTTTTATGTCTCTGTGTCAGCAGTGGGGTCCTCCTGGGTCTCCTGCCATAGCGTTTCATTTCATTTAAATGTCGACGGATAGTTCGCGCTGACATGATGCTCCCTGAGCCTGCAGGACAGCTTGATGTCTTTGGAACATGTTTGGGGCTGCTTATCCACCATCCGGACTATTCTGCGTTGCAATCTTTCATCAATTTTCCTCATCCGAAACGACCAGGGAGATTAGCTACAGTGCCATGGGTTGCAAACTTCTTGATAATGTTGCGCACTGTGGACAAAGGCAAATCTAGTTCTCTGGAGATGGACTTGTAACCTTGAGATTGTTGATATTTTGCCACAATTTTGGTTCTCAGGTCCTCAGACAGTTCTCGTCTCCTCTTTCTGTTGTCCATGCTTAGTGTGGCACAGACAGACACACAATGCAAAGGTTAAGTGAACGTCTCTCCTTTTTATCTGCTTTCAGGTGTGATTTCTATATTGCCACAACCTGTTACTTGCCCCAGGTGAGTTTACAGGAGCATCACATTTGTAACATTCTTATTTTATCCGCAGTTGTGAAAGGGTGCCAATACTTTTGTCCAGCCCATTTTTGGAGGTTTGTGTGACATTATGTCGAATTTGCTTTCTTTCCTCCCTTTTTTTGTTTTGTCCCAATACACACAAAGGGAATAAACATGTGTATAGCAAAAATGTGTTAATGCAATACGTTTCTGTGAGAAATACTGATTTTCAGGAAAAATATCAAGGGTGCCAACAATTTCGGCCATGACTGTATATATATATATATATATATATAGTTTTGCTACAGCC